CTTTATTATTATCAATAGCCTATGTCTACAACGCTCAATGACCCGATTTGCGGGTAGGGAGCTGGGCGAGGTTGTTAATATTGTCCAGATTATTTTATTGAATATCTCGGGATTTTGATCCCCCCCCCCCCCCCCCGGCACCCACCCAAAAAAAAAAAAAAAAAAAAAAAAAAAAAAAACCTAACCAACCAAAATAACCAGGGCATAAACGGCCTCCTCGCCCTCCAATCCTCGCTCACCACCCACACCGCGCCAGCCATCCACACAACCCTGAAATCCGACAAACCCCTGCGCAGCCTCTTGACGTTCCCGAGCGCCGAGGCCCGCTACGCACGCGGCAAGCACTTCTTCACGCAGATCTACGCGAACCACACGGAGCGGGTGCTCTCGTCGATGAGCGCGAGTTCGGCGGGCGACCTGAGCTATTTCGCGGTGTCGAGCATCTATGGCGAGTTGATGGCTGAGATGCGGATTCTGGACGGGCGAGAGACGGTGTTGCTGGAGTTTGTGTGTTGTTTGGCGGATGTGGTTGGGGCGCAGGCGAAGGGGTGAGTTTTATTTTATTTTTTATTTTTTTTAATTTATTCTTCTTTCTATTAATTGATGATTGATGATATATATATATATATATATATATCGGCGTTGGGGTTAAGGATGATTTGGCTAACGTCCACGAATTTCTTACTGTGATGATGGTGGGAAATAGACACTTCTTCGGCTGCCGGAATCTGGGCATCACGGGGCCGGAGATCCGCGGGGCGATTGAGATGGTGCGGGAGCTCGCGGGCCAGTTGGGGCTTGTTTCGTTTCTGGAGGAGGTGAGCGGGGAAGAAGAAGGAGGGGCGTTTCGGTTTTTGAAGAAGGCGGGTTCGTGGTGATGGGGTGGAGATGAGGGATGAGGATAGAGAGATATAGTAGAGGAGATCAGGATAGAGATATGATATAGTAGATGAGCCCTTTGATTCGATATAGGGGTCGGTTGCCATTTTGAGGTCGAATGAGCTTGTGTCTCTTAGTCCGGGGAGGTGTTTTTCATATCGTTTTGCATGTGCAATTACAGCCTGTTGTGAGGTATATTAGATTGATTTTAAATCAATTGTTTTTCTTTTCTATTCATTCCTGTTTTCTTCCCAGCAAAGGCTGGCTTAGGAGACAAAGCCAAAAATGAAAATAGAAATAAAATAAAAATAAAATAAAAATAAAAATAAAAAAAGAGGTTGCAAAACCAATTTTGAAAGAAACAATTCCATTCAGGTAACTTAGGCCATCAGCTTCGTTCACACGTTACACGTTACACAGGAACAAGACCTCGGGAACTTCTGGAATTTGGAAGTGGGCAATCATTCGATCCTCTTCGTGTATTGTCTGTATGTATGTGTATGTTCTGTTATTAGAGTAGATCAGTCAGCTCCCCATTTCTGATTTATCTGATATAGAGGTATTGATGATAGATAGATGACTGTATAAACAATAAATACAATTCCCGCTGGTTGGACGTGGAAGTAATAGGAATATAGGTGGATAGATAGTGATAGACTTCGATCTAAGATGATCTTCGGCAGGGAAGAGATAACTAATCTATATAATTCCCGGCTGATTGTATGTATGCATGTATGTATGTATGTATGTATGTATGTATGTATGTATGTATGTATGTATGTATACTCGTATACTCGGTCAGCCCGAGCGGGGCTGCGCCTCCGACGACGCGTACAGTTGCCAACAACTGGTACGCATACCACCAGTATATCTACCTAGGTGAAATGTCTCAGTTTCCATCCAACCATGTATTGTTATGTAGTATCTTAATACTTAGTTATAACCTCGTATCTGTATGTATCTGTATGTATAAGTACTCCATACTTCCATACTCCATCATACGGAGGATGTTACTACGTAGATAGGGCTTAGTCCCAACAAAGGAGCAGGAACCCACTTTTGTTCAGCCGGGAAAATGGTGGGGCCCGCCTTTCCTCAACAGGAGCAACGGTTGCACAACGTGACGGGATGCAGGGCTGTGATTGGCCAGCGCAGACCTCCATCGCGCCCCCCCCCCCCCCCCACCCGTGGACCGGACCGACTGTGGACCCTCTTTCCTCCGCGCTGGAACCTTCCCGCCCAGAAGAAGTTATATACTGGAAAACGACGACACCCGCACGGAAAACTGGAGACCTGTTTCATTTTCCGGATATCCTCATATGGTTATATAGTTATATATGTATATACATGTATATATATGTATCTATACAGTAGTAATAATGGTAATGATACGGTGGATGCCCGGCCTGGTGTGGGGTTGGGCTTCTTTTACTTCTCCCTCTTCTTTTCTTTCTTTCTTTTCTTTCTTTCTTTCTTCTCTCCTCCTCGCTCGCTACATCACATAGAAGGGAAGGGCTATACAACTTTTTTTTCTTCATACTCCTATCCTACCTCCCTCCCATCTCCCTCCCCCTCTCTCACCATCTCCCCGTGTCTCCGCGTGTGCTGCGACGAGAGAGTTGGCTGAAGAAGAAGAAGAAGAAGAAGAAGAAGAAGAAGATATAACTAGGGATTGACGGAATTGACATCCCTGGTGTGATCTGCGCCGGACTAGCATTGGCATTGCTTGTTTTGCAGTGAGTCTCATTCTCCTGCCAACGACTCACCACTCACAACCTTGAGACGGTCAACGTGGACGGGCTGTTGGCTGTATTTTTATGTCTGTCTTGGCTACCCCGCTGACAATCTCTCTCTCTCTCTATACAGCCTACAGTAGGATCTCCAGAAATCTAAGTCAAGCCCTGTATATACATTATATATACATTATACATATAGATTAGAGACAACTCAATGGCCGATTTTGGCTCCGACCTCTCCTCTTCCTCTTCCTCCTCCTCCTCCTCGCCTCCCACCCCCCCCACGTACAACCACCATGACATGAACCTGAGTGAAAAGGAGGCCTTTGACGCCTACATCCGCCCCAACGACAGCTACACCCCGGACGGCGTGTACTGGGCCGACCTGCCCCTGTACCGGCGCATCGCCTTCGTCTGCAAATATGACGCCGCGGAGGCCGCTAGGGAGTTTGCCGGCTTCTGGACAATGTTCAAGCAGGACCCGCTGGCCCCCGTCGCGTACTATTTTAGAAACATGGTGCTTCCGGGCGCTGGGCTGGGACTTGAAGGGTGAGTGCCATTAGTGCCCGTTGAGTGGGTCGTTTATCCATGAGACCGGACTGCCCAGCCCTTGGCGGCTGGGTTAGGAATGCTGGGCATTGCTTAGCATTGACTCCCGAAAAGAGACGAAGCTAACTAACTTCCTCTTGACCATGTAGATACGTTCTATTTTCCATTGGGAATATCAAGCCGTTGTTCCAAAGGGCATTTCCGGAATGTTGGGCCACGAAGGAAATCTGCAATCCCACCTGGATTGCCGCCGTGGAGTATCTGGAGATTTGCGGAATCATTGTTGGCCAGATAATAGTTGGCATCATTGGTGACTGGTATGAATTAGTTATGAAAATATATTCATACACATATGTACATTCGATTTTTACTAACTCCATCTAGGGTTGGACGACGATTTGGCCTCATCCAAGATGCCGTTATCATGCTTCTCGGGCTGGTGATGATCACTGCGGCCTGGGGCGTCACCCAAAATGGCTGGGTTATCTGCTATGTCTGGTCCCTCTTCTTCTACGGTATAGGAGTCGGTATGTATTATCAGCTTTAGATCGTGAGGAAAAATGATTATATCGTTTGTCTAATAAATCCCGTGTATATAGGAGGAGAATACCCAATGACAGCTACCAGTGGGATGGAAAACGCCGTGGGTTCTGGCAGAGTCTCCAACAAGGAGGATCGACTCCATCGTGGCCGCAAAGTGACCAGCGCCTTTTTGATGCAAGGCTGGGGCCAGTTCTTCAACCAGGTCCTCTTGATTATCCTCCTCCTCTGTTTTCACCACGGTAGCGGGAACCCGCCTTACTCGACCGTGGCCGCCCAATGGACTTATCGTGTCTCTTTCGCCATCCCTGCTGTCGGCACCCTTTGGCTAGTTTACTACCGTTACTTCAAGATGAAAGCAGCCAGCAAACAGCTGTCGATTGCCAAGGCTAAGGCTAAAGTAACAGGCTACGACACCCAGTCTCTGGTTCTGGCTTTCAAATACTTTGGCCCCCGTCTAATAGCTACCGCAGGTAGTTGGTTTGCAAATGATGTGTTCTTTTACGGTAATAAGCTCTTCCAGAGTGAGTTTATTGCTGTCATTAGTCCGAATTCTAATTCGATTATGCCGGGTTGGTTATATAACCTGATCAACGTTGGCGTTTCGCTTGTGGGATATTATATGGCTGGTATGTGCGATCGATCAACTAGACCCTGTCATCCTCCCTTTATCCGTTTGCTAATGGCAATTCAACAGCTTTCTTCATCGACAACAAACTCTATGGCCGAAAAAGGATGCAGCAAGTCGGATTCCTAATGGATTTCATCTTCTTCATCATCCCCGCCTTCAACTTCGAATACTACACCTCCCCAGAACACATCCACGCATTCCAGGCCATGTACTTCCTCAGCAGCTTCTTCAACCAATTCGGGCCCAACGCAGTCACCTTCCTCGTCGCAGCAGAGGTATTCCCCACCCCCATCCGTGCAACAGCCCACGGGTTTGCCGCCGCAGTTGGTAAGCTCGGTGCCCTCCTCGCCGCCGTCCTCTACAACTACATCGACACCCAAACCAAATTCTACGTCGTCCCCTGGTTCGGCCTGGCAGGGATGGTCATCACCTGGCTCTTCCTCCCAGATACCACAGGGCTGGACCTCAAGGAACAAGAGCGCCGCTGGCACTACCTCCGCAGCGGGCGCGAGAGCGAATACCACGGCCCCGCCGTACACCCGAAGCATCTGTCGCTCTGGGAACGCTTCCGCGGCGCGGGCAAGTACTACGACGCCGATCTGGACTATAAGCGCAAAGTCGACGAGATGCGCGGGGACTGGGAGGCGCTCATGGCGCGCCGGGCCGCGGAGGAGCTGCAGTTTGAAGGGGAAGACTTGGATGAGGGCCTTAAGCACGCGCATGTCCTGTCGTATTTCGAGCGGACGAGCCCGATGATTTTTGTGAACGAGAAGCAGGCCGCCGTTGCCGCCGCTGCTGCTGCTGCTAGTGACGTTAGTGATGTTAGTGATCGTGATGAGAACGGCGGTGACTCGATGGGTGATGTTATTTCACCGGCACGGCTTTCCGAAGAGATGTTGCCACCGCCGAAGGCGGATTTGGGGAGCAATATTTCTTGAGTAGAGTAGAGGTGTGCTCTGTTTACATTCCCCCCCCCCTAAACCTCCAATCTCATTTTCGACTTTTGATTCGTATATTTTTGACACTTTCTTTTTTTGAGATTGTTCATCTGAGTTCTGTTTGGCTATCATATTACCCCACATACATGACTAAAAAAGAAAAAAGGCGCAAATTACTTATACAATGATTTAACCATGATATCATATTCAGGCATCTGTTTTGGTTGATGAATTTTAGTTATTGTTTTTCTTTACATACATGGGTACATATCCCTCCCATTATACAGGTATATGCATATACATGTACAGTACATACATATATATATATATATATATTTTCCTGTTTTGACTTTATGAGCTAACACACTTAATCTCCTTACTTTTTGGGCGTGCATGCTACGCACAATTTAAGGTTTGATAGCAGCCCGTCTACGGGCTTGTCCTTTGTGAATCCGATAAGCTTATCGCACTTAAGGTTTCAAGCTACGTCAACCCCCAGCTCACGATCGACTGTTTTGGCGCACTTTTCCAGATCTATCGTATCAAGATGCGTCCAAAGCGTGCAGATTACCCGGAAGTCTGCTGCAAGAATCCTTAAAATAAGGCAGTACACAGCAGTCCTACTTCAGTTTATCTAATCAAACAGTACAGCTTTCTTCCCTTTTTGTTCTTGGAGGCTGGAGGGGTCTCCTCGGTTAGCCGGGGGAAACCATGATAGTCCGATTGGAGACCCCTTAGGGAAAGCTCGAATCACCGCGACTATGACCAATTAACCCCTTGACATGCAGGGCTATCTATTTTGTGAATTCTATACGGAAGATGAGACCAAGCTCGACGCGCGGACAAGCCATTGCTGTATCGCTGACTATGAAAGCTACGGCTGCACTCTACTGGGTCATGTAGAACTCAATTAACGAGATCCGGAGTTCACCGGAGTTGTGTCCTGCTCTTTGGCTCATTATGCGTTCATAGGTTGGAATACGATGGCATCATTGGGCTACGTTGAACTGTTCAGCCGATTGTACAGTACATCTACCTCTTCACCTAAGGGAGTTGTGCTAGGCATGGCTCATTTCAACTTTCGCCTCCCCTCCATCCATCCCATTCAAATCATGCAGGATTTTTGGCTTTTTCGGGATTAGCGATATGGCCCTTTTTCATGGCCGTATTAAGTTGAAAACAAGCCCTCCCTGATCATCTATACCCCCAAGCACTTCTTTCCGTTACTGCTGCTACCCATCCTGACACCAAGGTCATTATAACCCCCTATATACACCAACGACAATGTCTCTCAAACAAACGGTCATAGGGCTCCTTGCGAGCGCTTACGCCATCATCGTGGTATCAGCACAAAGGAGTATCACGTATGCAGATGGCATCGTGGTCCCTGCATCGGTTCCAACAGTCACCGGCATCGATGTCTCCCGTGGCTCGTTCACAGGCACACCAACTGTTACTGGCGCTTTGTCGGGAACGGCCATTTTGGGGACGGCTATCTCGCCCAAGCCTGCTCCGGCAAATGCAACAACGTATCCTAGCGATGGACGGCTTCATGATCCCCAGCCTGCTCCATACGTCCCCGGAGGCGGCCTTGGGACGAATGGCACAATGCCCGTTTATAATGCGAAGAGTGACTATGATTTCCAATCTCTTGTACGTGTTTACACTCGCCACCTCCTTCTTTTTCCTTTTTCTTTTTTTCCCCCTCATTGAGATGTCTCTGTAAATCACGCGGGAGCATAAGACACTCATCTAACGCAGTTGATATGGATGTGCTAGGCGCTCGCCCTGTACTTCAAATGGATAGAGCTCGATCTCCTCGACTACGGCTTATCCCACTTCTCCCAAAAAGAATTGACAAACGCCAACCTGTCCAGCGAAGACCGCTATCTCATTAGTTTCATGAGCGAGCAAGTAGTCGGCCACGCAACGATGCTCACCAACATCCTCGGCCGCGCCGCGCCCAAGCAATGCAACTACAACTATCCAAACTTCACCGACGTCCGCGAATGGCTCGACTTCTCCCAGAAACTCATCCGCAACAACGAGGCCGGCGTCTACGGCTTCCTCCCGCACCTCACCTCGCGCGAAGCAGCCGCTCTGGTCCTGCGCTCTGTAACCGTCACGGCCCGCCAGCAGGTAATCTTCCGCCAATTCGAAGGCCTCTTCCCCATGCCCGTGTGGTTCGAAGTCGGCATCCCGCAGTCGTGGGCCTGGTCCCTGCTGGCGCCCTACATCGCCTCGTGCCCCACAACCAACCAGTCGCGGCTGGTCTGGCAGAACTTCCCCGCGCTGCGCGTGCTCAGCCAGCCCAACCCGTTCCGCACCAACGGCTCCGCCGCCGTCAACGAGACTCTGGGCCCCTGGCTCAACTCGGCGAACTTCACCGAGATCCCGCCGCGGCAGCGCTGCAATGTCTCCGAGTGCGGGCCAGCCATCACGCAGAACCGCTCCATCCCGCTCTCCCGCCCGGGCCGCCCGGTGCGCCTGCAGTGGGAGGCGCCGGGAAAACCTGTCGGCCCGGGCAATGGCTATGTCACCCATTCCAGCGCGGCGGGCCCGCCGGCGTTTGTGGCGTGGGTGACGCAGCTGAATGTGACGTATTCGCCGCTAACGGATGTGGTCATGATGGGTGGAGGTGTGGGGAACGCGACTAATTCAACCACAGGCGGCGGCGGCGGTGGTGGTCGTGGTGGTCGTGGTAGTGGCCGTAGGGCCCACGGCCGCATAGAGTTCCTAGATCCCCGGCAGGTTAGTGATAACGGGACTACTGGCGGTGGTGGTGGTGGTGGTGGTGCTGCAGGGAGCGGGCTCACGATACAACCAGACCTCTCGACGTACGAGGGCGACCCGGCGATCAACGGGACGATTTTCATTGCGCTTACGGATTCGAATCCGTTCCTTACGCCGTTTAATTTGAGTTTGATTAATCCGCATGTTGTGGCGGGGCCGGCGGTTTATCAGGCTGGGTAAAGAAAGGGGGGGTTAATAAGTGAGGGAGACAGGGGGGTGGGGGGATTGACTTTGTTTCTAATCGTTTCGGAGGAGAGGATGTATGTATACTCTTAAAAAGTTATTTGTTGCTTTTGGGTGTGGTGGGGTTGAAGGAGGGGGAGGGTGTATGAAAAGGGGAAGGGGAGAATGATGATAAGACAGGATAGTTGTTGAGCATGTGTAACTTATGATTTTCCACATATATAGTTATTCATTTTTCTGTCTCTTGGAATTATAAACTGTGCATGTATATGTAAATACATGTAGTTAGGTGAGAGAGATTCAAGAGTTTGATAGTTTGATATTTAGCTGCTATCAATCCACACTGATATAACATACATATATAACATGGCAAGTTAGAAGTTAATTATATTTCATTTACAGCAAGACATGTATCTTTACAACTGATATCAGGGTTTGCTAATATTACATTTCTGATAATTATATATGTTGTGATAACTACTATGAAACATATGAACATGAGATATTTAGTTGAATGTGAAGTGGAATCTGGTGAAAATTTAAACATCAAAATCACAACAAATATAAATAAAACTGACTCAGTGCATATATGAGTAGGGAAGGGGTTGGATAATTAAGTTCGATTGAGTTACAATATCTACCCTTTGCCAATTGATGGCTCTTCTTGCTGGAAGATATTGCAATGATCAGACAACTTGTAACTAGTAATGTCAGGACAGCATATTTAAAAACCAGCACATCAAGACATCTTAAACATCTCCTGCATAGTTACTTACTTACGCTGTACTTATCTATAGTTACCAGATTGCTTTCGCGTCATTCGGTCATTCTCTCTACCTGCAGCACTGCACTTGATAGAGAAATCCTCTGAAACACCTCTCCTCTGCGGGAAGCTGGAATTCGAGCGCGCCTGTAGAGTCACCGACATTCTTGCCAAACAGAACAAGGTCCCCAGAGACATTGGAGATGCATTTGTGAGAGCGATCGACCGACCTGTGCGATGAGATTACTCAGATATATCGACTAGTCTCTCGTTCCAGAAGCTGCTATTTTCAAACAGAAGACGCTCTCATCGAAGAGTACTTTGACATTCTGGAGGACACCGGGCCCATCTTCTTCCAGAAGATGTCTCTTGCGGACTTTAATTCCTACGAGTTTGAGTAGTTATCCTGTATCTCCTCGCTCGCATTGAAGAGGAGAAGAGTTCTTGGGAATACTGTGAAACTGTTGAAGGTGACATTTCCAACCTCACCCACACCGCAACGCTATTTGAGTAATGGCGGATGGCATGATGAAAGGTGTGTTCCAGCACCCTTTCCCCCAATGACTCCTCGAGAACTACGCTTATTTAGGCGCTGGCATGGCGTTGGGATGCCTCATGAGTTTGTTGGCACCAGGCCAGTGGGCGAAAGATATGAATGGCGGGCGCCGCTGATGCGGGGCCGCAGCGGTGTCCCTCATACAATTATCACCTCATACCATGTCACTGAATCGCAGGCGCCGATTCTACGAGGCGAGCTGATGACTATCCTTCGCGTGATATGGTGGAAAAACAAGGTCGTTTTCGATAGAGGTTATCAGGTCCTTCCGGTGCGAGCATGTACATGTACATGTACAGTCCAGTATTTCCATCTATCTCATATAACAACACTACTCAACTTTAAGAGCTATAAATCATACCGCCGAACAATGCTGATTGACATTAATGAACCAGATCCTCCTCTCCGTTCGCCCCGGTTCTTTTCGACTCATCGAAGCCTTCCACAATGGATCCAAATTTGTGTTGCGGTATGGCAAGCCGGTTCCTGTGAAGCTCACTGATCCCATGGAGCATCGGATGGAAGGTGTATAACTGGGCATTCAGGTGGATCCTCTCCACTGTAGATGGAGATGCCCGACAACCTATACACCTACATACTACTTCAAACCTTGTCGGCTAGTTCCTCTAGAGGGCCCTTCCATTGCTAGCCAAGATTCCCGCAACGTCATCTCGGAATGGTTCGGAGAACGGCAAGCAGACTTATCATCAACATCCTCATTGTGCAGTAAACGGCAACCCGCGTATCTCGTCAATTCTCCTGAATCGCATCGCTGTGCCGCGTCTGCTGAATCCAGACTCGCTGCCTAGGGCTACCTATGTGCCGGAAGTAGATGGCCCTTCATCATCACGGACACCATCATTGCCAAAATCCTAGCCACCACCGTCACTGTCGTCGTGGTCGTCCTCACCTGGATCGCCATTGGTGCCGTTTTCATACCCCCCTGTCTATATATAATAAGGCTGCATCCAGCCCAGGGGCGCGTTATTAAACATTTTCAACTACCGATTTTTTGTCGTCTCTCTCTCAAGGCAGACACCAGCATCATCACCTGTGATCCAGATCTGAAAAATTCCTTTGATGACAGGATAGATATTATATTAGTATTAGATATTGAAATTTATAAGATTCTACTCTACTAGAATTAAATATAATGCTAGAAATAATATAGAAAAGAAGAGAAAAGAAATAGGAGGTGACGCGAGTCAGCCACCCAGATATAAGGCGATGTAGCAAAGATGAGAGGAGTGATTAAATATTTTTGTCAAGGGGGTATCCAAAATTTTACAGTCATGAATACGAAGGTAAAACTTCCATCGCGAAAGGATCCGTGTTTGCTCCAGCTAGAGGCAACTTTTTTACCTATCGAGCGCTTGGGATTCGCACTGTTGTTTTCCATTCCCGACGAATTTTTAGCAAAGCCATTCCATTTCCGGAAAGGGGATGTGAACATAACAACGAAGGCGTATGGAAATATTAAAAATATTAAAAAAAAAAAAAAAAAAAGAAAAAAAAAAAGAAAAAAGAAAAAAGAAAAAGAAAAGAAAAAGAAACATACCATTTGATAATAAGTACCTCTCTGTTTCAGCAAATTGGCATGGGTCCCGACTTCCAAGATGCCACCCTCGCCAAAGACGAAAATGACATCGGCGTTTTGGACCGTAGCTAATCGATGCGCGACAACAACCACCGTCCTCCCCTTAGCAGTCCGTTCAATGGCTTCTTGTACATGCTTTTCTGACTCCGAGTCGAGGCTGGAGGTCGCTTCGTCTAGTAGCAGGATGCTGGGGTTGCGGATGAGAGCTCGTGCGATACATATGCGCTGCTTCTGGCCGCCGCTCATTGCTAAACCGCGGAGGCCGACGTCGGTGTTGTAGCCTACATTTTACCAGATAGACGTTGTGAGCATCCTGTGGAGGGGGAGCGGGGGCTTGTAATGTAGGTAGGTGGGATTCCCTGCTACTGACCGTCTGGAAGTGAAATGATGAAGTCATGAATGTTCGCATCTTTACATGCTTTTTGGACATCTTCGTCGGTGAATTGGGTGGGATCAACGCCTAGCAAAACGTTGTCCTTGATGGATCCTTCACAAGGTTGTTAGCAAACTTCCCTCCGTGGATAGATTTCAGGAATGATGTTTTTATTTTTTATTTTTTATTTTTACCTTGGTATAACGCTGGCTCTTGGGATACCAACGAAACAGACTGTCGATAGGAGGACACATCAAGGGTGTGGAGGTCGTGCCCGTCGATTGTGATGGTACCACTTTGGTATTCGTAAAACCTGCAAAGCACGTGGAAATCAGAAAATTGTTTATAAGGATGAGGCAATTAAGGAATACGGCGGATTGAAGGGGGGGCAATACTTCTCAAGCAATCCGATAACGGTCGACTTGCCGCATCCTACTACCAGTGAGTCTCACTCATGCATTTCAGTATTACAGACGATGAAAACGTACCGGATGGCCCAACCAAGGCGGCAAATTGGCCCTTCTCGATCTGTTCGGTATTAGCTTTAGGTCATCTTGTCGGTAGAAAATGATGTCAGAGGTTGGAATATACGCACTGTGAAACTGAGGTTCTTGAACACAGTAATATCCCTCGTCGGATACTTGAAATTGATAGACTTGAAATCGATTTGAGCGCCCCCCTCAAAGCGCCCAACAGTCTTCTTTTCACCATCATTGTTACCTTGGGAGGGCCTGACGCTTAATATCCGATTGGCAGCTCCAGTGGCTTGTGCGATATCTGATTGTTTAATATAATTAGATATATAACCAGAAACGCATATTAATGTCTTGTTAGGCTTACTTGGCGTTACGCTCCCAAATTGTCCCGCCGCTTGGCCTCCCTGTACATGCTTTGTTAGTAACATTAACGCTTCAGAGTGGAGAGAGAGTGCCTGTTTACCATGACCACGGCGATATAAATAACCATGAAGCGAAGAACGTCGTATTCGTAAGTACTCAATAGCTGCGCTCCATACCTGAAAATAGATGTTAGCTATCTTGATTCTTGAGGTCATTCAGTGAGAGACAAATACCAGAAGCATAATGCCATGCATGGAAGTTCTATGCTATCCGCGGCCGCGAAGATCAGCGTTGCAAATCTTGCCTTTTTGAAAGCCTTCGTTACATGGTCTTGTAAAAGATTGGAGTAACGGGTGGTAATAGTATCCTCGAGGGTGAGAGAGGTGACTGTGCGAAATGCTGAAATGGCTTCTGACGCAAACTGCGAGCTGCTCTCGAATACAGCTGCATTCATTTTCTCGAATTGTACCTCGTATCTGACCCGAATAAACATCGCTATAATAATGAGTGGGAACGCAGAAAATATCGCGACTAAAGTTAATTTCCAGCCGAAGAAAAAAGCTACAGATATGCAGCCCATAATGTTGAATACGGAAATCAGCGGGAAAGCCATCTGATGGCCAACAAGTTCTTGGAGCTGTGTCGGATCGGTGGAAACTCGGGCTGCTAAAGAGCCGGTCGAATTTCCTTCTTCGTCGAAAAAATGGATCGGCTTCGTGATGATGTTTTCAAAGTATTCTTGTCGGTATGTGCCGCAAATATACTAACACTGATTAGCTATATAAAGGGCCAGGAGTCAAAATGCAAGCTTACCGCAGACAGGCTAGTTGACGCGAAGCCCAGAATGAAGTAAAAAAGTCCAACGCAAAGGGCAAGTATGAAGAACATTAGGGACCAGAATTCGCTCCGGTTAATTAGCTCATCGCCAGAAAGCTGAAACACGGCCGTGAGTTGTGCAAAGATGTAGCTTTGGATGGCGAAGGCGGCTAGGTAACCAATAATCAGTTATCTATGAACAAGAACAATCATACCTTGCAATATGAATAACCAGAGGGGATATCCTACATCCACAGCCAGCAGCGCCAATGACGATGGCTACATCCAGATACCAGAGCTTTCTCTGCTCCCAAAGGAACAGCCCGACTGAATTGAACAAGGATCTCGCTTTATATGTCGGCTCAGGTTCTTGGTCCGGCTCACCAACGGTGTCCACTCTTGACGCTTCTTGAAGGAGGGTCTGTATATCTTCTACTTGGCTTTTTGGATGGGCGTCACCTTGGACATCAGTATCGTGGTCTCCCATTTCCAGGCGTTGATTTTCAACCAACGAGTGGTATAACCCTTTGAATTCCAGCAGCTTCTCATGTGTTCCCTGCTCAATGCTTTCCCCTCCTTTCAGCACGATAATCTTATCCGCCTTTTTTATCGTAGATAACCGATGGGCGATGGTTATGGTTGTGCGATTTTTGGATACACGGTCAAGTGCTTCTTGAACAATGCGTTCTCCCCGAACATCTATCGAACTTGTGGCTTCATCTAGGATGAGAATTGGTGGCCTTTTAATGATACTTCGAGCAATTGCAAGTCTCTGGCGTTGCCCGCCGCTGAGTTTCAAGCCATTCTCTCCAACCATAGTATCATATCCCTAAGAAGATATATCGTAAGAAACATCGCAGGGCCAAATGGGACAAAATGGAGCTTACCAGCGGCAGCTTTTCAATGTACTCCGAAGCAAAAGCTTCCCGACATGCTTCCTTGACAAGCTCTCTTTTCACCTCTTCTGATTCATTTTCCCACCTTGATCCCACTAGACCATAAGCAACATTTTGGTAGATGGTTGTGTTAAATGTAAACGGTTCCTGTTGAACCAATCCAATTTGGGATCTCCACCATTTAAGATCCAGGTCGTAGAGATCGTGAGGCCCTATTTTGATCGACCCACTATTTGGGGTTATTTCTGTGTCTTGCTCTTTTTCCTTTTGAGGATCCTCCTCACTTTGTGGAGAATGACTTTTTGGTGTAGCGTCGCCCTCGAACTGTGTCTCGATCTGGTACCAACGCTCAAGCAGTGCAACAATGGTGCTTTTCCCGCAACCAGAAGGTCCAACAAGGGCTGTTATTTTTCCAGCTGGAATATCAAGAGTCATGTTGTTGATAATCTTTACATTGGAGCGGGATGGATAGGAGAAATTCACGTCCTCGAAGCGAATATCGGTAGTTGCGACGTCTTGATCTTTCAATCCCGATGTTTTAGGCTTTGGCGCATCAATCATTTCGAAGAAATAGGTAGATGCGCTCACCGCCTTGGATACGGCGATGATAGGGGTTGCAACAAAAGAGAGAGTTGATACCACTATTAGAACCGAAAAAATAACACTAGCGGAGAATCAAGCACATTAGATACCTCAAGCAAGCGAAAGAACAAGGGACATTTGTGATTGGGAAATACACACGTAATAACTGGGCCAACATCAGGAATATTTTTCGATGCAAACTGCCTGACGCCGAACCAGAACGTCAACGCGAAGCTGGAGTACATAGCGAAATTTGACGGAGCGAGCTGCGCGCCGATCTGAGGCGCCAGCCGCATTCCTCGTTTTCGTGATTCCGCAACCCATTCTCCATAACGAGCCGCAAGCCGGCCTTCTGCACAACAAGAGACAATGGTACGAATAGATCCAAGAGCTTCTCCTGCAATCGACGAGGCTTTTTCGTCTGCTTGCTCAACTTTTTTTTGCAGTTTGATATATATCGGAATAAGGGCGCCATATACTATTGATATAAATAAAATAGAGGCGCTTGCAACCAATGTCAAGGACCAGGAGTAACGGAACGCGACTGAGTAAGCACCTATGACCAGGGCCAATGATTGAACAAGTATCGCCAATTTATCCGAGATACCTGCTTGTATCGTATTTGAAGAGGTAGTGATTGTGTTTGTTGGTCTTCCAGGAGGGAGAGTATCAAAAACGCTAATGGGTTGGTTGAAGAGAGCTTGGAGATACGATAGACGAAGGCGGGCAGAGATTCTGATTCCCGTCATTCGTAGACAAAACTGGATGCCGTTAATTTGTATTTTGTAGTCCGGTTCGCGGACTAGGAGCACTGACCATTGAAATATAGCCGAGCAGAAACTTGCCGATAAAGAGGTATACAATATACAACCTGGGGTGTATTAGCCCAGGACGTTCTCCGGACCATCCCCTTATCCGTCTGATAGGTGATGCCGGATGATATGCAAAGCAAGAAGAAGTGAATACATACACACTCTCATTCGCGCTGCTAAGAAACTCCTCTTTGGAGACCCCTGAACCAGGGATGAAATATCGATTGAAATTACTAACAACATTGCCTGAACGGGGAAGGGTATCAGCTAACTTCATCGATCTGTAGCTCTCTCAATTCCGGAGTACAAACCGAATACGATGTTCATCAAAGGTAACGCCTCAATAACGGTAAGTATCTCTGCAAGATAATGGCGCAGGGAGAGCATCGTACCGTTCCTGCTCCAGCGGCACACAGTGTAGCAATTCCCATTAAAATCTTGTCGAGGAGGGTTCCATGGCCTAATATTCTCTTTTTTTTTTTTTGGGAAAAAGGGAAATGTTAGCTAAACATCTCCCACCGACAAGACATCATTAAAGCTCGTCGGTTGCAATGCCTCGAAAAGGGTTGCCCCATACCCAGAAATTCTTGAATGGAGGCTTCTGTTCCGGTTCGGACTGCTGCTTCTCAGCTTCGGCTTGGGTGGTGTTGTTGTCCATCTCGGCGGCAGGATAGCTTGTTTGGAAGCCGAACAAGCAAACATCAGCCCGGGGTTGCCTCTGACCCAGCGGAGAACATTTTTGATTCGCGAGAGGGAGTGACAGGACTTTGATATAATTTTGGCAGTCTAAGCACGGGGTAGCGCGAACCTAGCTCGTATCCAGATTCTTGGCCCCGGGTCCCGACAACCCCGAAAGTGCATACATAGTAATAATGCTGACTGCGTTGGACTTGATCATCATCTAATTCTCTCCTCGTTTCACTGTAAGGGATGCCTGGAGAGTCACATACACCGTACGGTGTGAAACGAGCGTCTGGGGAGCCTCTTCGCCCTGGGCTGATTGTGCGCCCAAATAACCAAGGCGATGCCGTGGGGTCAAGGATGACCTCCATCACAACGAAATCTTGAATGCACGAAGAGCTCGAGAATCAGCCAATTAATTACTGCTCTTTTCAGGGACTCGGGAGCATGGAAAGGCCGTGTTAATATTTCTGTGCTGGCTTGCTTGCTACCTGAACGGGACAGGGTTCCTCATCGAAAGTGCTCTCAGAAGTTAGCTGCCATGGCTGCAATTGGAACAGCGAGAATTGCCTGCAAATTATGCGAAGTCTCCACGCTGTAACTACTTGTTGCTCTGGCTGGTCTGGTCTGGTCTCTGTGTTTGTTATTAGTTACTATCGTAGTGGGGGCTCTACTAGCCGAAACAACGGAGGACTACTGGGGCCTGATTTATGTGGATTATTAATATATTAGTTACTAATAACGACTCTTGCTCTCCTTTGTTTTTCATTTGCAAAGTAGAAAAGCACAAGTAAGATGTTGATGAAAAAATACTATATTTCCTGAGCTGGTAAAAGTTATTTTTCTGAATCATCCATCACTCATACATTCTGTAGTCTACAAATTGAAATATTGTAAAACTGCAATGATGTCTCAGTATTTTTGTTAGTAGAGCACTATTATATTAGGGGTCCACAAATGAAAATACTGTACAAGTGGAGATCAGAGTGCATCAAAAATGCCATAATAGTACTGTAACTTACATATTTCAGAAGTGCTGCAGTGCATGATCCCTACGCGTTCTGGGGGTCGCGTCAAATACTCAAGATTCTCAAGCAGACAGTTTACCCATCTTTTCAATATATATATATATATAAGTTTCTGCCGACAGGTCAGATCCCATGTCAGAACCTTTCCCCACCCTAATCCTTCAACAGTCGTCGGGTCTCTCTCATTCAGTCATAGCACCGCACGGCAACTTGTCATCTTGCAACTCTGTCAGCTAGGTAGTTTTGAGGTGAATATCCCAACACACATCATTCTCATCTACCAACATTGTGCATTCATGGCACTGTTCTTGCTGATGGGAGTTAGAGATAATTGATATCAGATCTGCTGCTGGATCTTTTTTTGAGTGCTGCTTGCATAAAGCTGTGTTGAGCTGTGTGAGCAAGAGGACCTGCGCGGTTGCAGTTCATTCATATTATAATTGCTCGGACAGAAGTTGACTTATGAGCAAAGACCTTTTTAAATGCTTCAAGGACGGCTGTGAATGGATGGCAAGCACCGAAATTCTGCTGAGATTCCAGCGGGCGGCTATTCCATGTGAATAATCTGTTCGAGATCTGTAGATTTTGTTTGCCTGCGGTTATTTTCCGCGTCTTCGAAGAATACGGAGTTGAAAACGACAGTTCCTTTTTTTACCCGTCCTCAACTGCCATGATCCATCTCTACATTCTCCAAAACAAACAATGCGGGGAAAAGCCTGACAACGAGCATTTCGTGGTCAGACTCCCAACCCCTCGTCGTTGTCACCACTCAACCAGTAAAGGATCCGATTTGCTCGGCCCGATGTGCTTCCGCCGTCATCGCTTGTCCCCCGGCTACAGCGTCTCGGCTATCTTCTCCAGAGCCTCTGATCTCGGTATCAAACCACCTCTGGGAATCTAGATATTTACTTGATCGGCGTAAAAAGGAAGCTTGACAATCTCCACGAGACCTGAAAGGATCAAGGCCCAACGGAAGTTTCTCCTCAAATATCGAAAACAGTAATTGATGGTTCTGATCCAATCGAAGGGTGGGGCAAGTTCAAGGTATATAAGATGATCCTTTGACCTCACGCTTTCTAAGGGGAGTATACTGTGAACTACCTAGGTATATCTGTCTTCTCATCCCAGGAGCGATTCATACAACTGTAATTACATCTCCAGGGGAACATCCTACACGTTTTTACTCCCATCCTTTCTTCCTAACCGCCATGGCTACCCACCCATTTGACCCTATCCGCCCAGACGAGGTCAGTCTTGCGGCGAGGGTTCTCCAGGCATCATTTCCTGGGGTATCTCTACGGTTCAAAGTTATCGATGTTCAAGAACCCATCAAGAGAGATGTCGTGCCATATCTCGAAGCGGAGAGGCTGGGCACTCCCCTTCCCGCGAAACCAGCTAGGATTATCCAATCCTTATTTCATAGGCTTGATACCAAAGCCTTCTTGAAGGCTCTTGTTAATCTGAGCACGAAGGCAGTGATCACGGTGAAGGAATTGCCCAAAGACGTACAGGTATGGTTTGCTTCATAATACGTTGTATAACTCTGAGACCAATCTTCCCTGCGTGCTTGCAAGGTGAATCGATTCTAAACATCTCCCGCAGGGACCTGCGGACGTCGACGAGATAATAGAAATCGAGCAACTCTGCCTCAAACACCCAGCAGTGCTCGCCGAAATTGAAAAGTTGAAACTTCCACCCGGCGTCATTGTTCTCAATGACCCCTGGATCTACGGCACTGATGATGAAAATGAGACACGGAGGCTCTTCCAGTGCTACATGTACATAGCAGAGACGAACCACGCACAGGCAAATCATTATTCATTGCCACTCCCATTTTCCCCAGTTTTCGATTGCCTCACTCAGGAACTCGTGCGTATAGACCGCCTCCCAACTGGGACGGACCATTCAACTGCCCAAACCAGTCCGTGGAAGCCAGTCAAGGCGGTTGAGTATGCCCACGACCTACTCAACGAACCGCTGAGAACCGATCTTAAACCATACATCGTGCAACAACCCGAGGGCGCTTCGTTCTCCGTAAACGGCAATAAAGTCCACTGGCAGAAATGGGATTTCAGAATTGGTTTGAATTCCCGGGAAGGCCTGGTACTGTACGGCATCACTTACGATAAGCGCAACGTCTTTTACCGCCTATCTGTAAACGAAATGACGGTTCCGTATGGCGGTATGTCATGATATCCAAACCATACGGATAATATATACAGGTCATGCTAATTTTCACAATTTTGCAGAGCCTCGAGCTCCGTACCATCGCAAACAGGCATTCGATGCCGGTGATGTCGGGTTCGGAATTACAGCCAACACGTTATCTCTGGGCTGCGACTGCCTAGGCCACATAAAATACTTCAACGGTTGTCGAACCGACTCCAAGGGTAACCCCGTCACCCTCGAAAACGTAGTCTGTCTGCACGAGCAGGATGCCGGGCTTCAACACAAACATACCAACTATCGTACCGCCGGGGCTACTGTTGTCAGAAACCGCCAGCTTGTCGTGCAGATCATTTGCACGGTCTCCAACTATGAATATATCTTTGCCTGGATCTTCGATCAGGCAGGAGGTATCGAGCTGGAAGTCCGCGCAACTGGAATTCTTTCCACCATGCCTATTGACAATGCGGATGGCGCCACCGTCCCCTGGGGCACCAACGTTGGGCCTGGCGTCATGGCCGCGTTCCATCAACATATTTTCTCCTTGCGCATTGACCCATCCATTGACGGATACGATAATACCGTGATATATCAGGATAGTGTCCCAATGGCCGACGACCCGGTCACAAACCCATATGGAGTGGGATATGTGACAGAAACAACCGTGCTGAACAAGTCTGGGACGGCCGATACCAGCGTCGAGAAGCACCGCGTCTTCAAAATCCGCAACGACAACGTCATCAACCCCATCTCGCGAAAGCCGGTCGCTTACAAACTACAATCAGCGCCCAGCCAAATGATGTTGATGAGTCCGCGCAGCTTCAATAGGAAGCGCGCACAGTTCGCGACCAAGCCGATTTGGGTGACTAAGTACCAAGATGGAGAGCTCTATGCTGCCGGCGAGTTCACGAACCAAAGCAAGAAGAGTTCTGGCGTCGAAGAGTGGACGAGGAGGAATGATGACACTGAAAACACGGACGTAGTATTGTGGCATTGTCAGTTCACCCCTCCCCTTTCCACCCCCCGGGCAGGGACGTTGTTTGTGATCATATTTGATGAGTGTTGTGAAATAAAAATGCACTAGATCCTATCATGGCTAACTGTTGTAAAACCACACACAGCGTTCGGCCTTACCCACAACCCACGCCCAGAAGACTTCCCCATCATGCCGGTCGAAAGGATCAGCATCATGCTTAAACCAGACGGGTTTTTCGAGAAGAACCCGGCCCTCGACGTCCCCCCGTCCAACCAAGCCTTTAACCGCTCTCAGCTGCATGAGGACGTGAAAGCCAGGGTCAACTCAGTAACTTCCTGCCCTTGCCCTGCAACAACGAAAGCCAAGTTGTAAGATTGGGCGGAAAGAGTTTTTGTTGGCAGCAGCGGCTAAGTTCACGATACAGTCAATGCCGGTAGAGTGATGGCTATATGTGTATATATGCAGACGTAAACGAAATGAACCATCCCAGCAATAATAGGAAGGGACAATGGAACTTTTAAAGTAAATTTCAACGCTGCTCTCTTTGCCTCATCCTCTTGAGCACCACCTAAATCGAGAAAAGCTTTTCAAATGGCCTCTGTTATCGTATAGGAATCATTCCTCAAGGGAGGATAGGACGGTGGGAAGAATTGCGTAGAGGTGCCTGCCTATCTGCCAATTCGCATTAATTCACCTCATAGCTTCTCTCATTGCAAGACATTTTGAAAGATGGGGAAAATTGATATGTCACGTCCCATCACTAGGTTTCGCCAGAATATGGGTATATATATACCTACGTACAGTACATGATTCAGGAGTCCTATGCAATCGATAGTTCGATAGTATGCTCGTGGAGTTTTGTTCCTTGCCGGACATTGAAATAGGTATGGTCTGACCAAAAGTCCTCCCATCCATCCTAGGCATGTGGTTGAACATACGTACCTCCTTCCGTCTTCTTTCTTCCAAGTGTTGTTGAGAGCGTCGTATAGGGAGCTGCTTCAAAGTATGTGCCACATTATGTAGGATAGTTGAAGGATCAGGACGTGTTTTAACTGCGAGATATTGCAAGCAACCCACACCATGTTGGTATCGCTGAATTGTGAAACCAGCCTCTTTCTCAGGTATAGGGGAATCATCAATGCGGAATCCATCCTCCATTGGTGTTCTGGCGACAGCTGCATCATCAAGGTAGAAATCTTCAACAAGGCATTTGATATATTGACAATGTGTCAAACCAATTCCCTTGTCCGAACAATTGACCTCCATACCCAAATACTTGATTGGCTGGTGTAGATCCTTGACTTCCAATTTCTCACTGAGCATACTCACTAGCCAATCGGCATTCTCAGGAGCTTCGGATATGATGTTGAGATCATCAACATAGATCATCATATAGAGGTGATGTCTGGATGTATGATACCAGAGTGCCGGATCATGGGCGCTGACTGTAAATCCAAGATCACTCAACAGAGCTGTTAAGTAATCATACCAGATCTTCACCGCAGGGTCCAGGCTGTATAGACTACCCTCAACCATGCAGACAAGTGTTTTCAGCGAACCTGCCTCAAATCCAGTGAATTGTCTCATATAGACCTTCTTAGTGAGGTGCCCATGAAGATATGTCATCACTATATCCACTTGATGGAGTGTCCAACCGCGTAGTGCTGCTATTGCAAAAAGAATACAATTGACAGTATCAGTGATGACAGAAGTGTAGATCTCTTCTCTAGAACCCTTCTTAAGTCAGTTATCACAAATCACTCAATATGATTTCCTAAGAATATCATCAGGATTGGCATTCGGGTCCGCGGGCCTATCTTTCTCAAGGAACACCCAATGGCCCGGAGCAATCAGTTCACCCCTCAGGACATCAGATCTAGGGATCAAACTCCATATATTGTGTCTCTCCAGATCAGTAATCTCGCATTGCATGGACTTCTTTCAATAATCTCCTACCCCCCCTGGCCGAGATGTGGCATCCTTGTAGGACTTCGGGAGGTTGCCTGTAATGGGGCTTGAAGTGTAAGTAGCCAGCGATTTCGCGGGCCGCAACCATGTGGAATTCAAATCATCAATATCGGGAGTGTCTTCCTCATCATCAACCAGATGAATATCGGGTTCCAGTACACCGGCATTATTAGTGAGTGCCACAGATATGACAACCAGTTCTGATTTTTCAGCAATCAGGAATCTCACATCACTACTGGCAATAATCTTGTCAGATTCAGGATGCCATAGGCGATATATCAATGTGCCACTGAATCCAATGATACAATAGAAATCAGCACATGGAGAAAGCTTATCTGCAGGCTGCTGAGATCCATGCAAGTGAACAAAAACCTCTGCACTTAATTGATGAAAATGTCTTATATTCAGTGAGATATTTGTAAGTGCATATCAAGAAATCTTATATGAACTTGGAATCACAGAGATCTCTGTAGTAGAGAGTCAAAATTTCAAGTTATAAAGAACTGTAGATGTGGAAGTATTATTGATTATTGCAATCACTGTCTCTAGAACATCTGCTCAGAACTTCTTAGAAAGATTGTCTTTCAAAAGAGCAGCTCTAACCTGTCTTATAATAGTATAGATCTCACATTTGAAAACATCATTCTGATGTGATGAATGTGATGCTGTTGATTCTCATTTGATATTATATGAATTCATAACTGTGTGTATATGTGTGAATCAGAAAACACTATTAATATCAGTTTATAGAAAAGCAGAGACTGTATACTTGAGATTACTCATGAATCTGAGTCACAACTCAAAGTATTGAACAGTCTCATTCTTGAACTTTAAAAAATACACTCAACAGTAGCAGGTTACATCACAGATAATAAGTATTCAGTATTTTATTTTCTAGTGAAACTCTAAGAGATGATCAGAGAGATCTTTCAATGTATATTTATTATCTGTAAGATTAATATGAATCTTCTCAATGAGTTGAATAGATTTAGATATCAGTGTTTTCAAATAATCTTATATTATATCAGTCTTGACACATTTCTTACAAAAGAACTTAGTCTTAGAATCTTTAATTGTAACTTCAGTATGAGAATTCTTGATCATAGCAATTATAGCATCAGTATGAATGTGACTAAAATTATAATATTAATTCAAAAAAGTCTTTGATATCTTCAATATCTGTGTTTTCACATCTGCAGAATCAATATTATTAACAGTAGTAGCAGCAGTCACAGAAAGATCAACTTTTCAATCAAAATCATACTTGTGAGATATTATCACAATGTACTTGACTGCTCTGTTTAGATGATTAAGATTCTCATTGAACTTCTACTTATCAATCTTATATATGTTATTCTGAGCAGTCTGAACTGCATGAAAAATAACATTATTCAGAGCTCTGTAAATGAAAAATGAGAGAATAGTGAAAGATAATGTAAATCAGAATCTCTGATCTTCAAGCTTTGTAAATGAGAGCAGGTTAACTGTAATATTAGAAATATAGTGAACATTCTGCAAGTTAACATTATCATTCTCAATCTCTAAGATGATAGTCTTAATCTTCTTAATAAACTCAGTTTCTTCAGTCACAGAATCAACAGAGATATTATTATTAAAAGATTTAATATTTAAAAAAGAATGAAGCTCATCTATCATATTCAGACTTATACATGTGTTCAAATATCAAGATCTAGAGAATGATTTTTCAGTGACTGTGAAAGAGAAATAGAACTTAATCTTTGTAATTACTGCATTTACTGCTGATTGAGAACTTATCAAGTCATTCTTCTTCTCTTTCTTCTTGTCATTCTTCTTGTCATTCTTCTTTTTCTTTTTATCAGAGTGTAAGATGAAACATCTGTCAACAGTATGTTCATATCTTCTGCAGTGAGTATACTTTTATACAGATGTATCTTTGTCCTTATCTTTATTCTTTTTCACAGTCACAGAATCGGCCTGAGACTGCTTTTTCTACTCAGTGATAATCTTCTTGAATATATGATTAATCAGTTACTTTATTAAATTATTAATATCAATGTTGACAATGAGTCTCTGATCAGTGAAGAAAAACTTATTCAAATATATCTTGATAAATGATCTTTGATAATTCTGCAGATTGTTGAGAAAAAGATTATAATATATATTCTCAGTGCTCTGACAGAGCTTCTTATAACAGATAATAAGATAATAGAAATATCTCTGAAAAGTAAGATAATCATTCTTCTTAACTTATAATTTTGTCAATTTCTTGAAGATATTAACTCATTCTTCAGTCAGTGATATTATATATTTCATATTAATCTTATCTCACAGAGCTGCAGTATTGTCAGCTTTCAAGATTTTAATAGTGATTCAAACATTTTTAACAAGACTTGATAGTATATATCTATATAGAGACTTGAAACAGATTCTTCACTTCTCAGAGTTAATATAACATATAAAAGAAAATTCTTATTGAGTTCTCAATAGAATGTCAGTTTTATTAATAACTTCTATATCAGTCAATATATTAACATATCAGACTTTATAATTAGAGTTATTAAATGTGATCACTGATTTGATATCTAGTGTATATTTAACTTTCTTCTGATATTTCTGTAACTCATTTCTTATAGTATCTCTTTATACAGAGACAGATGTAGTAAGATGTTGAGTAGTTTCAGTCACAGTTATTTAATTCTGTAGTATTATCTGTATAAGATTCATAAGATTGTCTGCAATGCAATAGATAGATTGATTTAAATTATCATTAAAAGTCAGCATTCTGAGAATAAGAAACAGTAAAGAATTTGAAGAGTTAAAATGAACAGATTCTGTAGATGAATATTAACTCTGCTTTTCTTTATTCTGAAGTTTCTCTGTTATCTCATCATCAAATTCCATACTCTGATGAAAACTGATCTCAGTCTTATCTTGCAAGTCAGAAGCTTTCTTATAATAAGTGATCATTCTATCAATGAGTCATCTAGTGAAGTGTGTGATTCTGAACCTTGAGCTGAACTCTGAAGTAACAGACATATCACTCATATTGAGATGGCTCTGCTTCTTCTAGATGTGTAAAAAAAAAAAAAAGTGATATTCTTCACAATGAAGAACATACTTTCTCAAAAATATAAAGTATATGAATTCACTGACTGACAGATTCAGAGAAAATGAAATATCTCTAATAAGAAGTAAGAGTCTTTTCAAAAAAGATGAACTATCTGTGTCAAAAATGTTGATACAACATTCTAAAAAGAAAAACGTGCCATCCGGGCTATAATCTGTAGAATAGTTGAAGGTTGTATTGATAGATCTATCTACAGGAACATAATGTAGGCTACTGGGGCAAAAGAGCTCAATCACCACCAGCGCTGCTGGTAGAAGGGCCGATCAACCCCCGGGACCCTCAACACCCCCCCTTGGACCAGCTAACCACAGAGTACAGTGGCTCCTCTCAGTGGCTTCTCTTAGTGGCTCCTCTCAGCGGTCTTTCTTTTTGGACTCACTCCTAGGGCTCAAGGGCTCACTCCTAGGATGTCTCTTGGCACTGTTAAATGTCCGGGGTATTTGTTTTGAGATTTTCTTAAGTCCATTCTGGGATCAAACTCATGCATGTTGACCACAGCGGGGCTCACGCTTAACGGTCTCATAATCTGTAGACTACTGGGGCAAAAGAGCTCAATCACCACCAGCGCTGCTGGTAGAAGGGCCGATCAACCCCCGGGACCCTCAACACATAATATAGTGGTGGGTCACGTGATCTAGTGGGATCGCTAACCGCAACGGCCGTAAGGGCCAACACATTATAATGGCATACGCTAAGTCATCAAAATGGAGGTATTAGTAATACATGCCAAGCATACGTAATGTATGTAGTGCGATTGCTTTATAGATGAGCCAGCCATCGCCAGAGAAAGATTGACAGCACCAGGAGATTTAAAAAAAACCCCCGGCAGCTCGATGCCAACTCGATGGCCCCTCAAAATGACGTCTATAGCAGCAAACCCTGCGGTAGGGGAAAACACTGCCTGCCTCCAGGGTTAGTTACGGTGCACAACGGCCCGCGTTCCAGTACGTTCCAAAGGTACCTAAACCGGAAACCGGAACAGGAATACGGGAATTTCATCATTATTACATCCAGGTGATCTCAATTCCCACCGAAATAACACCCTGATTCTTCTTCTATCCGCAATGGGGATTTGAGAGGGTAGTAGGCAACTAACTCATTTGAGCCGGCATATCCGGAGGCGCGAATGCGGATGCTCCTTTTCTTTTGAGGGAAATCGGCTAGAAGGTGAGTTTCACCATATTATTGCTTATCTATTCAGAGGTGCGGAGTGGATGGGATATGGGATGGATGGATTTCCCACACTCAAGGAAAGAAGAGCAAATTGGAAAAGACTGACTGACCGTTGTTGATACGATGAAGGTAAAATGCCATTGGCATAGCCGGGCGGCGTCCAACGGTCCAAGGTCGACAAACAACAGGTTTACGCAATAACGTGGCTTGCAAGCTTTTTTTTTTTTTCCTTTTCTGTTCTGTTCTTTGGGTGTCCCACATTCGAAACCAAGACACTCTCGTCCAACCAGAAACCGTAAAGTCGCACACAGGACCCTAAAGTATGTGTGCCGATTTCGAAGAGCTATAAATAGCTTTGGATGCACAGCGGCGGCTGGCTGGACGGGACTGCTGCGCGACATTTGATCCATGCTGGATGGAATCTTTTGTCAAAAGAAGGGCTAGAAAAATATCAACTTTTCCCAAAGAGGCCAGCCCTTGTATATGAGTCTATGACTGACCTGAAACTCGAAGCGGGGATAAAACACTGTGGATAGGGTTTTCATTTATATTTACTCCGCTCCGTACTGAAACTTACTCTACTTATGCAAGTCCGCTTTCGCTCATTCTGATCTGTTTTCTGCAATACTGCACATTTTCACAGATTACAGGGCATAAACATGCACAACTGGACAATCCCGAGCATCCATGCGGAACTTTAAAATGGGACGCGTGGATATGTCTTTGAAGTTTGGGGTTGCGTCCCATTCAGAACTGGCGACAAGAACACCCTGCCCGCCGTGGTCTGTTATGCGACTATTTGCCACTGAGGAGACGAGAGCAATCGCAACTTCGCAAGCGATTCAGCCACCGTCTTTCCACGGCCTTTGACGTGGTCGATGTGGCTTGCTACGACGTTTTCCTTGTCATGAATTCAGTCAAAGAAAATCTGCGATTCTGTGGCTGGCGGAGAATAACGAATCCCTTGAGTCAGTCCCTCTGAGTCGACCTCGATATGTTACATCTACTACGTAGGGTAGACTCTGACATTTTGACTACCTTTTGGCCGAGGCTGATGATCCATGAACTTTCTTTTTTTCAGTTGTTGTTACTCCGTACTTGTTGTTGGGCAAAATTTGGGCCGACGCTAGGAGAGAAAGTAAATAGAACCGTTTTGCATCAGCGATGAATGAATACTGAGATATAAATCAATAGTTAACTAGTTAAATCAATAAATAAATAAATAAAGCATAAAATGAGAATTTAAAAAAAAATCAATCATAAATCGACAAAACAGAAACATAAGGTTGGATCGCGCTCTTTTTTGGACTGCTCTATGAGGCTCAAATTCGATCTGTTGCTCGTATAAGAATCGCAATGGCGCCAGCTGCCAAGTGGTGACAACTGTCCATGAACAAGAATATCTCAAACGAAGGCGTCTCAGCTTCTCAAGCCTATCCACTCCTGGGAACTCCCAGAGCCCCAGGTGGCTGGTTCAGAACCAAGCCCCGTTTTAGCCCGGCTCTGGAGCTCTTGGGGCTTGTCTGGGGCCTCTGGTGAGGATGAGGACTCACACAACGCCAATCAGCAGCATAGATCTGCGCAGTTCCATGGGAACATTGGCTCGAGGGGTGGCGGGATGGCGGCGCGCATTGGTTGCAACTTGCAACTCGCAAGGAGGCCAAGAACAGGCGAAAGGGAGATCCGTCAATAATCCACCGCTAATAAAGAAGTTCCGCCGGCTGGGATGCGATGCAGTAGTAGAGTAGGTAGTGCACAACGAGAGACATCCCACATCAACATACAGCGTATATCAGGGAAAAAAGCCTGGAACAAAGCTGTCCAAGCACGCAAGTAGCCTGGCCAGGTTATTACTGCATGGTTGCCATTCTATACACAGTATTGTTGCTATGACACCAGACCTAAAACCAAAACCCCCCACTCCAATTGTTGTCTCTGCAGCTTGGGATACGATACACCGCAGTCACAAGCTCTGCATGAAATCTTACCGTGGATCTTTTTCAAACAACTCAATTGGAACCATTTCCAATCATCGTCTTCTTGCTTCTTTCTGCTGAACAACCTCGGTTCTTGGCTTCAACCTCTTAAAGATATTTCTGTTATTAGACTTCGTGAAGCGTTGTTCATCTCTTTTCACAGCGACAATTTCCTCATTCGGTATATACCATACCATACCTCCTGCACAGCAATCATTTCTTCTTCTAATTCACTCCCTCTTTGCTCTTGCTGACTATCTCTGTCTTCTTGAACATTTCCAAAGCCTAGCAAGTCTTTTTTTCTTACTTGATTCCTCTATATTCTCTCCAGCTTGACCACCTGGCGCTTTTTTGTATGCCTATAGAGTATCGAGTCGTGGCTCCCTGTCGCTCTACCTTACCTCCACACCTCTATCAAGCCAAACCTATATTGAGAGCTATTTGAGAACTATTTCTTCATCTCTGCTCGTCATTCCACGGTAGACGAATCAAAAATGATTCGACCGTGGGTTTCTACCCTCCTCCTAGTCCTGGTCCTGATCTCCTTCGTGTCCGCTGTCGACCTGGAGAGGGGAAGACAGGCCCGCTCACATACCCCATTCACCGGCCTCTTGAAGGCTCTGTCCGCCAGACTCTGGTCTCGAGAGATATACCTCGAGAACTATATCGTCTCTCGTCAATATGACCTAACCAAACGACAAAACGGGAGTGAGTCCTCCCCGACATCCTCTCCAGAGACAGAAAATCAACCGACAGCAGGTCCAACCACACCTAATAGGCCCCCGTCTCAGAATTCGGCCCGTGACACTTCAGCCGACGATGCTACAACACCTACAGCTCAACCACCAACTCAATCACCCGAACCCGAACCTGAACCTACACCCACACCTACCACTCGGGAGCCCCCGCCATCACCTTCAACCCCTTCAACCCCTTCAACCCCTCCAACCCCTCCACCCAGTCCTCCACCTCAAAGAACAACAACCACAAGCCCAACCCCTCCACAATCTAGGGAATCTAGAACGCCTCCGAGACCTCCCCCTTCCTCGAGGGCGCGCTCCACACCCAGACCTAGCCCAGAACCTACCACGAGGCCCAGATCACCCACTAGCACTCCCACTCGGAGGAGCACCCCTCCGCCAAGCAGTTCAACAAAGCTCATCCCGACCACAAACGCAGATGGCTCCCCGAGTACCATTACGACTGTCGTAGTTGTCCAACCCACGCGAACTAATTCACCAGGAGAGAACCGGCAAACACCACCTGGTTTGCAGACGGGTGCAGCACCCATTATAGCTGCCGCTATGGAGAAAGGGTTGTTGGGATTGCTTGGATTCAGTGGTGCTATTGCCATTGTATTGGCGTTTTAAATTGGAAAATGTGTAGGGGCCAGGGAGATACACACGATACCGGGACGAGCAATGGGTTTAAAACAATAAAATAAATAATAAAAACAAAAGGGGAAAGGAAGAACTTAAGGATGATCGTGGGTGGAGAAGGATTTACATTAGTCGTGGTAAGCAAGATAGGAAAACGGACCCAGAAGCACTTGGACCCTCTGTCTATTACCTCTGTTTTATTAACATCTTATTTTCGTTTGGGAGGGTTTTTCATTTTCATTTTTCCTTTTCGCATTACGGTGAAAATTAGAGCTCGGAGGAGGTGTCGATCCGTGGAATATTTAACTATTCCACCGGTCAAAGAAAACGGTTTAGGCCATGTTCCTCTGTTCTCTTGCCGGTCAAAGTTTTCTTAATAATAAATAAGAAATAAGAAATAAAAATAAGAAAGATTCATATATATATCGAAACACCCTATGAGAAAAAGTCTGGAGAAGGAGTTAGTTGTAATTTTCACCCTCTCGTTCTCGCTTCTTTTGTTGACAGGATTAGCTCTCATTGCATTGCACCCGTACAGAGTAGAGGAGCAGCTAATCAATTATACAGTTAATAATACCGAAAAACGCTCTATAAACATGAATACATAAATACTATATATAACTGCATAAACAAAATCCGCTCCCGTATGGTATCTCAACAAAAAAGAAAAGGAAAGGAAAGGAAAGGCGCTTACATGCCCGTCGAGGGACGCCGACAGTATAACGTAAATCCAACCCCATACAAGTATGGAAACGCGTCTCCCCATAGAATCCGAAACCTGAAGAATCTCAAACTGTCTAAATTCCCGTGAGGAATAGTTCACACGTACCTCGTACATTCTAGCGGCATCCAGGGTCCACCACGCACCAAGCTCGAGGTATCCTCCCTACCCCGGGCCCATAAGGAGGTAGCCGAAATCGAAAGGACAAGAGGAAACTAATACATTCCTCTGGCCATGAGCTTCCACCTCGTACCCACTACAGCAGAGACGTAATATATATATATATATATATATTTAATCCCCCTCCATCCTTTCCACCCTGTCATCTACCCCCCTTTCTGATAGCTTTCTTTCCCCCATCCCCCTCCCACCTCTCCTCCCCCGTCCAATACCTTACCAGCCCCTCCCATGCCACAGTATCCCCACTCTTCATCAACACCGCCACATCAACATTGAGGGGACTCTCAGGTCTAGGATCCGTCAACAGTTGCTGGATAGCCGACATGGTCGTCGATAGCGTGTAAGCGGGACTCCAATGCTCGGTGGTTAGAAGGGTTAGGCAGATCTCGCCTGTCGTGAAGGAGACGTTTGGGTGGCAGATACGGGTTCTGAAGGCTATAACTGGTGGGTGGAGCGGGTAGGTCGGCGGGATGGTGATGGTTAGGTGCCAGAGGCCGCCTGGGGGTTTTTTTTGGGGGAGGTTTTGTTAACTTTTTTCCCCCCCTTCTTTATATTGCAAAACTTGCGCGATTGGTAGGAGGTAAGAGGATGGAGGGAAATAAATAATACCTTCGTATGGTGTGCCATTTATGCCCTTTAGGACTGCTTCCCAGCGCAGCAGGTCTGTGTCGCTTATGGGGCCGAGATGTAGGAGAGCTTCGTTGGGGGATTTGGAGTAGTCGTTGAGCTCGCGGATGAGGCGTTTTGTGGTGGACGCGGAAGGGGCTTGTTGAGCCATGGCGCTGAGCTATTCTACTGATTGCGGGAGGCGTGAGTTGCAGACAACAGAGGGTGTGTTGGGAGTTATTTCATGATTATGGTGGTGCAGAGGTTGAGCTGTTGATCTGGTGGAACGAAGCTCGGTTTGCGCCGAGGTTATTTACCTGGGGTTTGTTTATCACCACGTGATGCACTTCCTCTTGACTCAATGCGCGAATGTTCAGGAGTTCTCGAAGCTTGTTCATGACTTGACTGCAATAGCTACGAATATCTCGCATATACCCTTTAGCCCTCAAAATGAGAACATCGCGGGTATCCAAGGAGACTGCAAAGTTAGTTGAGATCTTATCAAGCGCTCCACGCCGTCAATCGCAGCGAATTGCCAACGCAAATATCCCGGTAAATAGCTATGGCCTGGCGGAGAGGAGAAAAAGCGAGCTGGCATCCCTTCATAATAGCTCTCTAATAAAAGACGAGCCTCAGAGCGATAGTCATGATGACTCTGAACTCTCCTCTGCGAACACTACGGACATTGAAGACCTGCTTACACCAACGCGTCCGATAATGCAAGAGCGGAAACGAAAGCGAGGCCAGGATTCTTTATCCAATATCGAATTCAAGCGATCAGCTTCTGCATCCCGCCAAATACCTTCACGTAGGATGTCCAGCACATCACAAACGTCTACGATCATTAAAAAGGAGGAGATAGAGTCAGAGGCAAAGCCAACCCCAAAGCGACAACCGCGACGGCTACCGGCGCGTAAATCAACCGGCCCGAATGGCGTTGTCAAAGTCGAGCCTCCATCAAACTGGGAAAAGATCTATGATATTGTGAAGGAAATGCGCCGCAAAAACCCCACTGCGCCAGTAGATACCATGGGCTGCTCCCAGCTCTACTGGCGCGATTCTTCCCCGCGTGACAGGCGTTTCCACATCCTCATAGCCCTGATGCTGTCATCTCAGACGAAAGATACAGTCACTGCCATTGCGATGCAACGGTTACATACAGAGCTGGCGCCTGAACAGGCTAATATGGATACGGGTTTAGGAATGCGGGTCGTGAAGAAGGAGGAGGACGTGGGACACTCAGTAAAAGGGGAAGAAATAGGCTCGACGAAGAAGAAGGAGGAGGAGGAGGGGGAGGGGGAGGGGGTAGCAGCTGTGAAGAAGAGAGAGGAAGCGAGGCAGATGATAAAGAAAGAGGAGAATGAGGGACAGACTTTCAAAAGAGAAGCGCAGGGAGATGTGAAGGTGGAAACAAAGGTAGAAGAGGAACAGGAACGAGAAACGAAGAAAGTATTAGTATGGGACCGAAACAACCAACACACAAAAAGCACCTTAACTCTTGAGAACATCCTTGCCGTAAGCCCATCCCGCCTCAACGAACTCATCAGGACTGTTGGCTTCCACAATAACAAAACAAAATACATTAAAGCTGCCGCCGTCATCCTTCGGGACGAGTATAACTCTGACATTCCACCCACCGCGGAGGGACTCATGCGGCTACCAGGTGTCGGGCCTAAAATGGCTTATCTATGTATGAGTTCCGCGTGGGGCCGTGATGAGGGCATCGGCGTCGACGTACATGTGCATCGTATCACGAATTTGTGGGGGTGGCATAAAACAAAGACGCCCGAGGAGACCCGGGCGGCGCTGGAGAGCTGGCTGCCCAAGGACAAGTGGCATGAGGTCAACAAGCTGTTGGTTGGGCTGGGGCAGACGGTGTGTTTACCAGTGGCTAGGAGATGTGGGGAGTGCGAACTTGCGGGGACCGGGTTGTGTAAGAGTGAGATTAAAGGGTGGACAGCTAAGGTGAAGAGGGAGAGGAAGGTGAAGACTGAAGAGGATGCCGCCACTACGGTGAAGAGGGAGAGCAGGATGACAATCAAAATTGAAGAGGGTAGATGATTGGAGAGGTCTGATTTTAAAGAATATTTAGATACCCTTGTCGTATGTCATCTTTCGCCGCTAAATAGCCGGTCTGATATGCTAAGAGAACATGAAATATGCGCAATTCCATTATAGCTAGACGTCTGTGCCGGCAAGCTAGCTTTGCAAACAGCTCCCCATGGATCGGTGGACGCCTTGTTTTGCTGCGTTCTCTGTACGGAGATGGGGATAATTAACGATATATTTGTATGTACGATAGCCGGTGGTAATTTGAAGAATACTTATTAGACTCAATTCATGTATAATTACTGAGCCCCCCCCTTTTTTATTTGCGTTGCGGGTTCGGAGAATGCCCATGGAACGAGCCAAACCGTAACTGAATCTTATTTTCTTCCCCTCTGACATCACCACGAGAAAACCGTCAAAAGAAACCCAGCACCGTCAATCAATTCTCCCCGCTTACCACGCATGTAACAAACTGACATAGTCTTCATTTTTAAACCATCACCTTCATTTCTTCATCCCTTCAAAATCTATTACCTAGTAATACAAAACACCGAACAACAACCCCTCCTCAACAAGCAACAACTAGATAACCAACCCCACGGCCACCCCTCATGCCAGCCCCAACCCCAACCCCAATCCCCATCCCCATCCCCATCCAATCCTTCGCCCAAACCCAACAACAACTCCTCCTCGCAGAACATGAAGCCGAAGTCTCCTCGTCCCCGCTCTCCACATCAATCGCACAATCAGGCGGCGTGTCCGCTTCAACACGTCGCACCTTACAAGTTGCCGGATACGCCCTCACAGGCCTGGTTCTCGTCAACACTCGGACGGGCATGGGCGGGCGTGAGGTAGGCGAATTTGGAGTGGATAGTGCAATTGGGTCTGGCGCGAGGGGTGGTAAGGATGGCGAGGGAGCCGGTGGGGGTGGTGATGGGGGCGCGGAGAGGTTGGGGGCTCATGGGATGAGGGTGGGTGATATAGTGAGGGTTGAGGATGTGGCTGCGGGTGCTCGTGGTGGTGCTGGTTCTGGTAGGGCGAAAGGAGCAAAGGAGGAGGAGGGGAGGAAAGGTAGGGCGCTGGAAGGGGTGGTGACGAGGGTTGGGGAGAGGAGCGTTTGGGTTGCGTTTGGGGGACAGGGAGGTGCTGCTGGAAAGGGCAGAGATGAGGAGTCTGTGGAGGATCTTTGGGGGAAGAAGGTTTGGATGTGAGCCTTGTCTGTCTGTTATTCAATTTTCACTGGGAGAAAAAGGAGGCAATTGGCTTTCGCTGGATCTGTTGGCTGATTTGATGGGCTTATTCTAGGGTGAAATTGGCGAACGATGTTACCTACCGAAGGTGAGAATTCTCTTGTTATCGTTACGAAAACCACGCGAGCAAAGTGTGCTAACTATTTCGTACTCAGGATGAAGCAAACGATGACCAAAATGGAGAACATGACGGAGTCAGACTACACATATTTCATGAGGGTTGTTTTTGGGCATACGGCGCCCTCCCCTGTGGATCTGAGTTCTCTTGGAACAATCGAGTTCATCGACTCTACGCTAAACGACTCACAAAGAGAAGCAGTTCGATTTGCGCTTGCATCGAGAGAAATCGCACTCATTCATGGCCCACCAGGCACTGGGAAAACATACACTCTGATAGAACTGATTCTGCAACTTCTTCGCCAGAATCTCCGGATCTTAGTTTGCGGCCCGTCAAACGTCTCAGTGGACAATATTGTCGAACGGCTGGCTCCACATAAAGTGCCACTGGTTAGAATTGGACATCCCGCCCGTCTTCTATCTACTGTTTTAGATCACTCTTTGGAGGTTTTAATTCAAACATCAGATGCTGCCGCCATTGTCAAAGACGTCAGGAAGGACATCGAAACCAAACAGGCCAGCATACGCAAGACAAGGAGCGGCAGGGAGCGGAGAGAGATCTACAGAGATCTAAAGGAACTACGCAAGGAGTTCCGAGAACGGGAATCTAAATGCGTCGGTAATCTTGTTACGGAGAGCAAAGTGGTACTGGCAACACTGCATGGTGCTGGTGGGCATCAGCTAAGAAACCAGAAATTCGACGTTGTGATTATTGACGAGGCAAGCCAGGCATTGGAAGCTCAATGTTGGGTTCCTCTGCTGTCTGCTTCCAAGGCAATATTGGCTGGCGACCACCTGCAGTTGCCTCCAACCATCAAGTCTGTGACGTCGAAATCTAGCGGGACAGTAGGGAACGGAATGTCGGCAAGTGACGAAATATCTGCCCCAAATGCCGACAAGGGTAACAATATAGGGCAGCATAAGGCGACAAAGAAGGCGACGCTCGAAATGACACTATTTGATCGTTTGCTGTCACTGCATGGTCCCGCCATCAAACGGATGCTAACAACTCAGTATCGGATGCACGAGAAAATCATGCAATTTCCTTCGCAGGAACTTTACGAAGCAAAGCTCATCGCTGCAGACGCAGTGAAACTACGATTGCTTAAGGATTTGCCTTACGAAGTTGAAGAGTCTGATGACACGCGGGAGCCTCTAGTATTCTATGATACCCAGGGCGGGGATTTCCCTGAGCGAGCCGAGGAACCTGTCGTGGCGGCAAAGCAGAAGCAGATCTCCATGTTTGTCGAGAGTAAAAGCAATGATTTGGAAGCCGTGCTGGTGGGTAGACACGTTGAGAATCTGGTTGCGACGGGGGTGAAACCGGAAGACATCGCTGTTGTTACTCCGTACAATGCGCAGCTGGCTTTATTGTCCAACATGCTGAAGGACAAGTATCCTGGACTAGAATTGGGGAGCGTGGATGGGTTTCAGGGACGGGAGAAGGAGGCTGTAGTCGTGAGTCTTGTGCGTAGCAATCCAGAGCACGAAGTTGGGTTTCTCGCTGAGAAGAGGCGATTAAATGGTACGTTGCTCTCGATTATGTCTTACAGCCCTTGCTTTTCTTTTCCGTTCGTGAAGAGGGAAGGATTGTATTTCATATAAGATGGCACAAAAATGTGGCAAATAGCCACGCGTGTTTGAGAGATGTCTTTGAAAGGCTCGCTAATGTCAAAACCAATAGTTGCCATGACCCGGCCCAAGCGTCATTTGTGCGTGTGTGGTGATTCTGAAACGATTCGTCGGTAAGTCAAATGAAGCCTATTTCCTTTTTCATCCCTTTGTACTGTACCTTCCTCGGCATAATGAGAGAGGCGTTTCGGTTTCCCCTCAAAATCGAGATCTGGAACCAAATCGATTTGCATCATTTTTGAGGAAAATAATCGTTTTAACTCATGGGCTCTCGCCTGTTCTCTGGTCCTTGTCTCAATACAGTGGCAGCCAATTCCTACGACGCTGGATGGATTTCTTGGAGGAAAATGCCGATCTGCGATACCCCGACGCTGGCGATTATATGCAATCCTAAAGAGCGGAGCATAAATCCGAGAAACGCGAGTTTCCCTCAAAGCGACGAACTCCACAAATTTTCAGACCACTTTTCACGATAATGTAGCATGCAAAAATGCTTCTCAGGGCGAGAAACCTGCGGATTGGCTAGAGCACAGGGCTGACTGCCGCACGAGTTTTGGGAGGTGAAAGCCTTCCCCTAGGATAGCTGTGTTATTCTTTGGAGGAGCATGTCACAGACCCGATTCTCTAGCACGACCATCAGCCCGTCGGAATTGATGTATGAATATCTTTGTTGACGGCTCTGCAGCAATATGCGGCTTGTAGGCCATCCGTGGACGGGGTGGGTTGTTGGTGTCCTTTTTGATGTATGTGACATACAGGAACCCCACAGTATACTTGTATGTCAATTGCAAGCGTCAAAAATGAGAGCACCCTTGGGCGGCACGGATTGAGCGGAGCTTATTAGCCATTAGAAAGTCGTTATTGATCAAGTAATCTACCATCCAGTGTAGTTGGGTATACACTGATATTGATAACCCAGACAAACGCATCCCGAGCGACACGCGTTGTGTAGCACAGATTGGAGCAGATAAAAGCAAACCCTCTATCTCTCGGGCGTTTGGAGAAGCAAACCCGCATCCAATCAACCTACCAGGAGCCCCGAGAGTGCCATATATAGGCTCGAAAAACTTCGCTGCGGACGTAAATGGTCGACAGTAATGTTTGGAGTCGACAGTTTGCTCAGCTATATACCTAGGGCAAATATTTGGTCTCGTAGCTCTAGCAAGTCCATGCATGAAGGTAATACCTGGAGTTGGGTGGGGAGTTAATTGTGATACTAAAGGAAAACCAAAGGCATTCAAGGGTTAAACACCACTTAGGAAAATATCCTAAACGTTTTCCATTCAGTCATTCTGATGAGCCCCTACTTTCCAATAAAAATCATCAAACCGTTTTAAGTATGAAACATGTTCCGCATTTACGCAAGTCTTGTGTGTGTGTAGGAGGAAGTATGTAGTAGATCTTGCCATAAAAGTGGTCGCGCGGCCTCGAAATGGTGGGGTGCCAGTGGAGGTCGGCACAGCTTCCCTGTCCGGAAATAATAAGAAAAAATAAGACATGGTGCATTTGACCAGAGTGCGTGGCGAGACATTTTCTCTGAATCGCCATTCCTGCATACACACACCATGGCCGATACCGAATGATTGAGGTCCCCTCAATCTAAGCAGTAGTTGCTTGATGGCCAAGTTGACAAACTGCGTACAGCGGAACACGCTGAGTGAACTAAGTTACCGCGATCGTCTCAAATGAATGTGGGGGTAGGGTAGGGTCCGCAGTCGCTGTTTGATTTATTCGCCAATTCAAGAGAAACAAATAAACCCTCCCAGCTTTATCTTGCGCTATTGCCCTGTTTTCTTCTTGGTATAATATCTTTTCATTGTCTCCAAGCAATCCATGCAAGTTCTCGAAGAAAGAGAAGAAACGAACCTGGGTCAGCTGAAGCAGCAAGACTTCGTTCAGAAAACAAAGCAACAGGTGAAAGGCTTGGTTGTTGAATAATGCATAAAATTATTATGCTTTCCTCAGCTCAAATGAACGCAAAGGTTACACTCATCACAGTAGGCCCGATGGTGTGATTGGTTATGGTATGAAGCTAGGGTGGGTTGCGTCGCTGTATCAATAATGCAAGAAGGGCCAGGGGCTGCCCGGCCCGATTTCAACGCTAGAAGAGTGTTAGTAGCTTCTGTTACCGAAACGACCTCGCGGGGCTGCTGGATCGAAGCGTATTCGTCAAGGAATAATTCCAAATGGTCTGCTGAAACAGGCTGATATAACTACTCCGTAGTGGTCGACATCATGAAGAACAGAAGTTGGAAAAAGGGACATGCCACGTGGCAAAGGCAGATCCTGTTGTCGTGAAAAGCTGACATAAATGGAAATTATGTCCTTGTATTCCCTAAAATGAAGGAAGCTCATCCAGGTCAGCAGGCCAAATATGCAGTTGATTTAGTACATATGCTTGAAGGGGTTGAGTGGGAGGATGTTTGGTATGTTCATCCACCTGCCGCATAAATGGAAAGAAAGTGAACGGCATTCTGGAAGCAAAATGTCGCTCCCACTCTCTGTTTCCAAACAATTTCAGCGGTGGAACGACGAACAGTGTCTAGGATCTCCACTTTATTTGGCGCCAGTTGCTGCAAAACCCACGCGGGTCGGAGCGTCATCCCTCACTTTCTGCCATCTGGAGTTGGGACTTGAAATTTTGGCCGAGCACGAGGGTCTGTTCCGGGGCAGGCGTCAGCCGTGCAGCCATCAGCTTATCAATCATTCGAGCCCCAGGGTCAAGGGCTCGAGCCGGCTTAGCGTCCCCCAGTGAGGGAACCGGGTCACAGCCATGGCAGTGGCACAATGTCCCTGGCGGTGAGGATCTGTCCTCGTTTTTTTGTTTGGATGGGAACGGGAGTGGCATGATTTGGCCGTTTGCAGATTTATTTGTGGACAGCGTGCATGAGTGGTTCGGCACGGGATGGCGAACAAAGAAAGGGTGTTAAGGGATATGCATGCATGCTGGAACTACATTCTGTGTGACAAAGTCAACAAGTAATAATGGGTTAATTAATGAACAACATTCAATGCGTTTGCGAGGAAGTCTGGAAACTCGAAAGTTGCATGATCCTGCACCATGGCTCTCATTCTTGGTTTAAGATTCCCGGCCTAGGCAGCTGCTAGGAATTTACTCTTTTCTGAGAGATTTCCGGGCTGCTTTGTGTCATAAATTAATGCGAATAACTCCGGGACAGCATAACCACCGGACAGCGGGGAAATTGCCGTGAAAAAACCCTCCTGGGGCATTGTTCTGGGTAGGTTTGGCAAGCTCGCTTGTGCCAGAAAGGTGCGCATAAATGTGTGATTCTACATTAAGTGAGCGCATCTGCCTGATTGTTGAGATTGTAGCTTCCTCTTCGAAATATTTGGTCAAGTATTCCTGCAAACAGGGTTTGGGTGCATTATTATTCATTTTTCTGTCGCGATACCCGTCGAAGAATAGGTCATGTCAAGGCGATGGTGGGGTCCAAGCACTAAGAAAGACATCAGGGTGGTATTCTGAAGATAAATTAGTAGTAAATAATGAATGGCACAGCGTTCGTGTGAACCGACGCCTCACGAGCACAGGGTTGGCTAGTTCAAAAACTTGGCCCTGGCTCCTGGGCTGGCTTCCGTAGCAAGCGGTGAAACCACCACGAGAAGCTCCGCATTATTATTTAACAGAGAGTTGCAAGATGCGGTTTCTGGGAAGAGATCTGCCATCTCCGTCAGACATTCTGTGCCTCACATCACACGGGCTGAAGTTTGGTACAGAGTTACTTTCAGGTGGTGTTTAGCCACTCACGGTAAAGTAAATTGCTGTTATTATAATATTCCAGTCCATAAGTTAAGTCCGCAAACCCATTATTACGCTGTAGTAAATGCGGATCAGCGGTATATTTCTTATTTTGTACCGTGGCAGGGCGCGCGAGGGTACGCAGGCAAATCAATAAAAATGATTGCCCTTCAGAAGGAAGCAACATCCTCGGCATAATGAATTGTGTGCCAATGAATGCGACTCTGGGCACGAGCTTGTCTTCCTCTGCTTCTTTATTTTCTTGTCAGAGGCACAGCTCCAAGGACCCAAGAGGATGTAAGAACGAAGATCATGCATCAACCAACACCCAAGCTCTGTGTTTGGCCAGCCTTCGATGATGAGTTGAGTTAACGAGCGAAGCCCACCCAAGCCTTAGTACGGAGTAGGTTTCCAAGCATAACAAGCGAAGGAGGAGTGAAGACTTAATTAAGTTTTTAGGAGTGCGAGACAGCGCTAAGTCCCATTCCGGTGCCCATGATGATGCTGGTGACTCGTCCCAAGGGCCAAGGGGCAAGGGGCAAGGGGCCAACTGCTCAAGCCCTCCAGTCTTGTCTCCCAGAGCGAGCCAGTTGGTAAGGTAAGTTAGTCGTAACTATGTATAAAGTAGTAGTTAAGTAGTTAAGTAGTTAGTTGGTGGAGGTTCCTGGTTCGGTTCCTGGTTCCTGTAACTACTGCGTAACTCTTCCGCGTGTGGATCAGGGCGGATCAAGGAAGGGGAAAGGAGGGGAAGGAGGCTCCAGCGCTGCCCTGGCTAGCCCGAGTAGGCATAGCGTATTCGCTGCCCCCCGCTTTGTCTGCGCCAAGAGCTTTTAGCCCTAATTAATTAAAACCTCCGTCCGTTTAAATATACCAATCCTTCCCCCCCCCTTTTTCTTGTCTTCTTCTCTCTCTCTCTCCTCTCCCTCTTTTGCTTCTCTTCCTTTTCTTTTTTTTTTTCCCCGGGTGTTTCCTCTTCATCTTTGAGGCCGATGCCTTGCCCATGATGGCCGTTTGGGCATAAATCAAGTGGTGGTTGGCTCACGTTCGACGTCCCTTTTTTGATTGGTATTTGAAGCCCTAGGTACTAGAACGCCCCTGCTAGGCCCAGCCGGTGTTGCAACTATTGATGCTCCTAACCTTTTGATTCGGTATGCTTTGTTCCTATCGCTCTTCTGCAAACCCTGCCTTATTTATTATTACAAGGTTGTTGTCTTCTCTACCCCCTCGGCTGACGTGTTGGCGCTGCTGTTCGGCAACTTCCTTGAAGCTCTCCCCCGAGCTTCCGGCGGAGGCTTCGATTTTTGATATTCTCCTTCACTCCCTCTCTATTATTATCATTCTTTTGTTCTCCCAAGTCGCTCATACCTAGGCGATTTTGTCACCTTCCTTTTTTGTTTTTGTCCTTCGGCTGTCATTTTTGCTGCTTCATTGGTCCACTACGCTGGACCCTCTTCCTATAGCCGGGTAATCTGTCTCTCCCTCATCCCATCCGTCGATCATTGACTTCACCAGTCGATATTTGCGACCCCGCCGGTGGCTGGCTTTCATCCATTTGTCGTTTGTCTATCAGTGCTATCATGGGATCACTGCCCACCGACGATCTGTAAGCCCCTGTTCCAGAAACCCACGGCTACGCACAGCGCAAGCCACAACCCTTGAGGGGAAGAGACTATCGATAAAAGGGGCTCAGCCACGAACCGAAAAAGAGGGTGACGGTGTCCCGCGAAAAGTCCAGCTGGTCGCCCTTTAAACCATGTCTCCTCGGTCTCAACCAATGCTACCCAGCAATGGAGCTCGCGACTGTTCGCCACCACCCTCCAAAATCCTCTCGGAAGATATCAGGATATCAGACCCCATTCCCTTCGCTAGGAGTAGTCAGGATGCGGTCGATGTCCTTCCGCTTCATAATTCGGAGCTTGTCTCCGCATCCGCAGTCCTCTCGACGAACAAGCCAACGACTGCTATGCCTGGCCTAGACAACTCGCGTCACTCCACCCGCATCAATCCATTGAATGCCGCAACATCTCATGCTCCTCAAAGTTCAATCTCCACGGCTATGACGAAGGATTCTATCACTCGTAGAAGAAGGGGTAGCACCTTGAAATCGGTAATGCGCAAGATTTTCGGTCGGAAGCGGCGAAGTGACCCTGAATCTTTGAGAAGGGAAGCTCACAATATTTCCCTACCACCACAGTGGACCCCTACTCTAGAGACTGTAGGGCATCCAGTTAAGATGGTGTCTGGATCTTTGCGGTCGCGATCGAATAGAGCGCCATCCTTGCCAACCAATCCCGGCTCACTGGTACAAACCCCTCCTCAGAGCCCCTTGAAGAGTGCGGGGGGATCTCATTCGCGGCGATCAGGTAACAGGTCACCAAAATTGGACTACCGACGGCCACGGCGACGGGCAACCTTGCCAAGTATTGTTTTATCAGCACACGAAGCCCGCGACCTTGCCATTCAAATTGCCCAGCAGAATTCGAGGAGGAACAGCATCCATTCGCCAACACGTGGTGTCGAATTGCCGGACGCGTTTGAACAAAAGACATCAAGGCAACAAAAAAGACGATCGCGGAGCGCATCTGAATTGAGGGACATGGCAAGAGCTCATCGCATGTCTCCAATACAATGGCGACGGCGTAGTGACGAGATTAAGTTCTGGAGGGAAAGCTTTCTCAAGATGGATGCGAGCCCATCCATGTCCGCCCGACCTGAAACCCGAAGCACAATTGCGAGTGTTTTAGAAGACACAGACCATGCAGAGGTTGAGCAGTCGCTAGACGATCCTTTTCATTTCACCGCACTGATGGGGACGATGCAAGATAATTCCGACACCGGCCTTGCGCAGCGAGTGAATATGTTGGAAGTGAAGCTGATGGATCTTGAATTTGCTATCGCGAAACTTCAGGGTCATGACTTTTGCCCAGTCAAGCAGACTTTTGAGGCTGGGATGCGACGGAATCCCCCATATAACAGTAACCAACAAGCCACAGTGACAAAAGCCCTTCCATCTAACTTCGTCAGTTCATTCACGCCTCCTAGAAGCTCACCCACCCCCGACAGGCCCGACAGTACAGCAACACTGCGCCCATATACAGCTAGCCACAACGCCTCCTGCCAGACGCCATCGTCATTCGCTTCCGACTTCAAGGGAATCTCAGTGGAACAATACAGCGCCTTAACAACCCTCGTCCGGCGAGAACAGACTGCGCGCAAGCTTCTCGAGCAGCAAATCTTCCAACTGCAGCGGGACGTTTCGCAATTGCAGAGCTACCAGCGGCCCACAGGTCAACAAAGCTTCCTGCTACCATCTTACTCAGATTCTTCGGACAGACTCTCGTCTCGACGGGGTAGCGATAGAAAGACGAACCACGATCCTCCTGAGACCGATAGTGACGATGGGTTTATGGCAGCACACCATAGAAAGATCGAGGACGCCTACCGACGCGCCAACATGGAGACGCCAGAAAGAAACCGGGTCGCAGGGATGATATGACAGGATTTAATAATTACTTCAATGTTGCTTCCATTAACTATTTTCTCCAACGGCCTTCATATCATCATACTTCAGCTTCGTTCGTTATTTCATTGTTTTATTTATTTATTTCCCCACGTGAAAGCGTCCCAGCGTTTTGATTCATGATCTTTATATATATATAATTCCTCGCTCCTCCCAACTCCCTCATTGCAGTAGCACATACACACCGAATTCAACGGGGGGAGAAGAAACGGGGTGATATGGCGGTCTCCCTATCTCCCTATATATTTTATTGACTTGTACTGTACATATATATATGCCCTTAGTATTTACATTGTTTCTGTTTTACATAACTCACGACTTTCGGATCGATACCCGATGAATCCTGCTCTTTTCCTATGGGCGCAAGTTTTTATATTTCTGCCTTTGGTTATATTATCTGGTTTGTTTTCGAAAGCCTCTCTCCCACCAGTCACGCTGTAGTTAGTTACTTGTTGTTATCTATGTGTTTATTACCTTTTCTATTCCCTTCTCTGTTTTAATTCTGCACATTATGACCTTCTTTTTGTCCTGCTTTTTTTTCTTTTCTTAGAACTCTCAGGAAAGCGAAGCCTTCATGCATTCCTTCCATTGGTTTTTATTTGCTTCATATCCATGCGGCTTTGGTTTTCACATCAATATTTTCTTACACTTTGAAGTTCTGATGTTGATTGATTATTTCTTCTGTGGAAGGTGTAAAGTTTGCTTGATTGAAAAGGTTGCTAGCTAGGTTGTGGGAAGTTATATGGCGGAAGGATTAGTAAGCCAGATCACCTGACCTGACAGTTTGATACACATATTCGTAATCTCGATACATCTACTCCACTGCGTAAATTACATCAACGCCTGCATCCTATCTGACCAAAAAAATTTCCAAAATGTGAACTTCAGCAAACCCAAAACCCCCACTCCACTCACACATACCTCAATGCCTCTCATATAAACAAAGAGAGAAGACACGAATTCCTACGCGCGCCAGCATACCGGCAAACATTGCAGCGCCGAAAGGACCAAGCAAAGCCTCAAAATGGTCCCGCCACCCTCACCTCCGAAACCCCCTTCGACAACGCCATCGCATCCACCACATAAGGCATCATCACCCTCCTCCTCACATGCCCAACCACACCCGCCAATATCCATCCTCTCCTCCGCTCTCGCCCGATCATACGCGCACATTCACCCGCTCCTCCTCCTTTCTTGTTTTGCGTTGAGCTTCCGTGCCCTCGTCGATGATCCGGTTTCAACGTTGCTGGGTTCGCTTGCGCCGTTGGCGCTGATGCAGGGGATTTATGTGATTGTTTGCTTGCCTGCTGCTACCGGTGGTGGCAGTGCGGGGGATGGCGGGCTGGGGAAGGGGAGGAATGCTAGTGGAGGAGGTAGCGGGAAGACTGGAGCGAAGAAGCGGCTGGGGGGCTCGAAGATTATCGTATGCTCATGCTCACCACCTCCCTCCTATTCCCAAATATTAGATGTTCCATGCATACATACGCTCTTTGAACTTCTTCATAATCTACACATATATCCCCCATACACGATACTACATTACTACATAATCTCTCGAAATAAAACAAGCCATTGCTAACATCCCACGTAGCCGGCCCTCCTCTCCATAACCCTCCCCGTCATCCTTGGTACCCCGTTCCTCTCAATCTGCCTCATTCTCTTCGGCGCCCCCTTCACATCCAACCTCCCCGCCACCATCCTTTGTGCCGCGCACATGTCTATTCTCTCTGGCACGAGTTTGATATACGTCCACGGCACCGACGGTGCTGTCTGGCAGGAGATATGGGGCATATCCCGCGCCATTGATGCCGTGTGGGGCGCTACTGTGGGTGTAGGCTTAGGCGCATGGTTCGGTGCAGTACCCATTCCGTTGGATTGGTAAGGAACATCCTCAGTCTTCCTGTCTATTTTTTTTTTTCTTTTCTTTTCTTTTTTTTTTTTTCTTTCTCGGAAGGGGGGCGCGGAGTTGCGGGGCGGCCATTAATTTATAACATGTTTTGGGGAACGAGAAGGAATAATTTTGTTGGGAGCTTCTGCTAATGAAGCTTGTTGTTTCTGTGATTGTAGGGACCGCCCATGGCAGACTTATCCTATCACTATTATTACTGGGGCATATATTGGGTATGTTTTGGGTTATATGGTTGGGCGAACGCCGTTGTTGTATGGGAAGCGGATTCAATTTTCGGTCCCCGAAGAAGAGGGGGATGTGGAGGACAGTGTTATTGATGAAAATGGGAATGAAGTGGTTGGGCTGAGAGCCGAGAAGAAGAAGAAGAAGTAAATGGATTTCCCGTCCACATCCTTTCGTTTTCATTTGTCCCTGTTTCGCACAGCATATTTCTGGCGGTGATTGGAGCTGGAACTTCCTCTGCCATGTCCATTTAAACCATATATAATTTTTTACTTTCCTTTTTGAGGTTTTATTCCTTGGAGCATATTAAATATTAGATGTCAATATTGGACATATCACCTACGCAAATTCCCGGGTCCCGCTGGATGCGGTCTTGCCTACTTCCACCCTAAGAGTTGAGGCCAAGCCGGGACTTGAACCTGTAATGTCCAATAAGTATGTCGCCATCTTTTTATACACCAATTCTAAATTGTGATTCCCATGATGGAGAGGTTCACCTGTGTGTAATCGACATGGGCATATCATGGCCTCTGAAACTTCCTTTGAAATGTGTAGCTACGCAGAGTATTTTTGGCTGCCACTCAAGACTGTTAAACGTTGAAGGATCAATTCCTTTGGCAGAACAACCGCTGCGGACTTAATTGGCTGGCTGTAGTCCATAATCATTCTCAAAAGCATGAGACACACACATCACACGTTATGGCCATCATCAATTGCTCACTGCGTCGGCGAGGGCGTGGGGGGTGGATGCTTACAGAACAGACTGCTCCGCGTTTGAGGTTTGAGGTTTTAGCTTTCTGCGCTTATATCCTGTTCGTCTGAGATTCCAGAAGATGCGGTGGGGTTTAAGCCAGTCTACGTGGCGCTGATGGCGAGCCTGGCGCCAACTACGCTGTAGATATAAGATGTATAAGACCTGATGCGGCCTCATTGCTCAATTCCTAGTCTATATACGGAGTATACTCTTCGGACGGACGACGAGAACTGGGGCCGAATCGGCAGGGATTATTTAGTGAGGGCATTCGGTACAAAAAAAAAAAAAAAAGAAAGGTTTAATAGAGGGGAACTACTATTGGAGCTCTCTATGCCTATAGATTGCACCTCGTTACTGTTAATGGCTTCTACATACAACGGGAGAGTTACCTCTTAACTGGCAAGAAAGAGCATTCTGCCGAAAAATACAATTTCAAATGAAAGCAGCGGTGAACCATGACACCATGACGTCATCATGTGAACGGCGTTCCACTCCAGCGTGGGGGAATATTTCAGAATAATAAACTCAACCGGAGAGATGGAAATTTTAAAGAGGGGCACCAGTTCGGATGAAGTAGAAGTGGGCTCCTTTTTCTGGTTTCATATTCTATCTCCAAAAAAAAAAACAATTTCAATAACACACTCACGTTAAATTGCTTCTTCGTACGGACACTAGTCCTCTATCAAATCAATCCACATCAGCTCTAGTCACTTCATCACAATGTCTCTCGGCAGGAAAGCGACTCTCAATACTGGCTATCAGATTCCGTGAGTATCCAATGGGACATAAAAATTAAGATGCAAACATTTCAGGCTAATGGGTTGTTGTTCTTGTCCTCTTTCCGAATTGCAGTCTGCTTGGCTATGGCACATGGCAGGCCGCTCCTGGTGAAGTCGGCACTGGAGTCTTCGAGGCACTCAAAGCTGGATACCGACATCTTGTAAGAACATTGTGTGATCCTTCTGGACCGAAAGGTGGAGATAGGTGCTGACAATAGGTATATTTGTGTAGGACCTTGCCCATATGTAAGTTCCCTATTATATTGCTAGGGACGGCACAGCTCGAAATCCGAGTACTGATATGTACTCCAGCTATCGAAACCAGAGAGAGGTTGGCGAAGGTTTGAAGAAAGCCTTCAAGGAAATACCCGGACTGAAGCGGGAAGACATCTTCATCGTAAGTTTTTTCTCGGAAAGGCCCCCTATTTGGTCCCGTCCCAGAGAGATGCTGATTGAAGCCCGTTTTGGAAAGTAGACCTCCAAGCTATGGAACACGTACGATATACCCAGCTATTGTTTGGCCTCGTTCGAGTTTTAACTAACTATCCTCCTAAAAAGCCATCACAAGCCGGAGCACGTTGAGAGGTCGCTTGATATTAGCTTGGATGAGCTTGGGCTCGACTATCTCGATGTACGTTCTCAAAAGCCTTGTCGCCATTGATGTGCAGCAATTGTCTTAACAGATTTCTCCCCCTAGCTCTTCCTCATTCACTGGCCCGTTGCATTCGAGTACCGATCTGACAAAGAACTCTTCCCTCTCGATTCGACAAGCACCAACCCAAAGAAGGACATTAAAATCGACGATTACGTCTCACTTGCTGATACCTGGAAAGGTTCGTGAGGATCTTGATATGTGACTTCTAGTCAATAATCGTAGCTAATATTCCTGCAATAGCCATGACCAACCTCCCTAAGAGCAAAGTCAGAAGCGTAGGAGTGTCCAACCACACAGTTTCACATGTATGTTGTCCAGTTGACCCCGAATCCTTTATACATTTGTCAGACTCCCCATACATTCTTGGTTCTGACCTTCCAAATTCCAAACAGATCGAAGCTCTTATCAAGGCAACGGGCGTCGTGCCTGCTGTCAACCAGGTTGAACGTCACCCTCTACTCCAGAGCACGGAGCTGGTGAATTATTGTAAAGAGAAGGGCATTCTCATCACTGCCTACTCAGTCAGTTTTGCATCCATCCACTCATCATTTGCGATAATTCTAACAGTTTGGAAACAGGCATTCGGAAATAATATGATCGGAGAACCACTTCTTCTTACTCGCCCAGAAATTCAAACAATTGCTGACCGACTCTCTGCCACGCCCGCTCAAGTCCTGTACGTCTGCTCAAAGACCTTTGAGGATAGCCGCTCTTCTTCGTATTGTTCTAATATCTTGCTTTCTAGGCTCGCTTGGTCTCAAGTCGGTGGCCACAGCGTCATCCCCAAATCGGTCACACCTGCACGAATCGTCGAGAACTTCATGGAGATTGAGCTGTCAGAAGAGGATATTGCTAGCATCAACGCCCTGGGCAAAGTGCCACGGCGTTACAATACGCCCTACGCATGCTGTGAGTAGACGATCTCGATGTATCTAGGGAATCTGCCGGTTCTCTCGTTAGCTAACTGACTTTTTCGCTAGACTCCCCTCGATGGGATATCAATATCTTTGGAGAAGAATCGGAGAAGGGGGCGACGCATGAGGTCGTCTTGCGAAGTAAACTCTAGATGGCGGACCTAGGAGATCCATTACGTAGACTCAATAGACACCGCATGGAGTTTCTGGATCCCAGATAGAATTAGAAATCTGTATTCAGCGCAGATCAATGTCCATATATTTGTGTATATACACTCTCACCTGTGATTATGTCATCTAGCTCGACTGATGTCATGCCCACAACCTTCGTCAAAACATCCTTTCAGGTGAAGTCATAGCTCATATTCCCGATTACTTGGTCACCTTCATGTACCGCCCTCTTTTGTCCAATAGAAGGTCTAAATCCGCGATCTCTAGCCAATTAACAATGAAGGATAACCCACTGCGGTAATGGTACTGCGAAATGACCATACTTGTAGCAAACGTGGACAGCCATGCTAACTGAAGCCAAGTTTTCCTGGCAAATATGTTTCTAGCCCTACGGACTTTTAAAATTATATGAGAATTGAAGTTCGAAACGCCACACTGTGGAATGTGTCTTAACCCCCCATCTCTCTGTTCTATTTACCCGCCGAGAGCATCAAGCGCGACGTGAGTCGTTTTCATTCTAAGAAAAAACGATTGATAGAATCACAGTTCACTGTGCTGCCAGAAGACAATGACGCCGCACGCCCATCACACTCGCCCGAGGTACCACCCGGGCTCAACTAAGAAGGAAATCGAAGAGGAACCAGACTGGCGGACGGCTGGATTGCACCGTATCGGACTTCGCAACGGGGGAAATAATTTCCCTGGTTTAACTCACCGGGGAGACGAGTGGTTAAAAGAGGAGCTGGAGCATGAGGAACATGCAATCAAGATTGAGGAGGAATTGAAAAAGAGATTGGAGCGCCGGGATCTGGTTACTGTGAGGGATGTTATGACGAAGCAGGAAGTATACTATACTCCTTCCTTTTTCTCGGGTCAAATTGAAGGACGATTTGTTTAGGTTGTGTTTTGTTTACTCCGACTTCTTTGATCTAGATTCCACTAATATGATGTGCTTGAACCATGCGGCGATCATAGGACTTCCATCTGGAAAGACCTGAAGTTTTTTCAAAGGGGTGGCGGTATGTGTTACACACAACGGAAGACTTTATCAAGAATCAACAAGACTGGCCTGCAAATATTCAGAAGAGGCAGAAGGAGGAAGAAGAGCGCAAAAAGACACAGGGAGAGGAGGAACAGTTAAAGAAGGAGCATGAATGGCGACGGGAACGTGGACAGAATGCCACCCAGAAAGACGCCTATGCTTCCAGGGAACCACAAGATAAACAGAACGAAAGTGAACAAGCTGTCGAGAAGGAATCAGGAGCAGGAAAGGGTGATGGTTTGAAGCAAAAGTACTCTGCGCAAGAGATTGCACTTTTGCGCGCTTTGCGGCACGAGAACAAGTACATGCATTCTCTCAAAAGGAACGACGGCAAGGGGAAGTCTCCGATGGCCCATTATGAAGATCAGAGACAATTTTGCATAGATGAGGCTGATCAGTTTACTCCGGATAACTGGATTCCGAGAAGTGACACCCTCATTCGCCTCACGGGCAAGCACCCATTCAACTCCGAACCGCCACTGAACACGCTTTACGACGCCGGTCTCATTACCCCGAATAAAATCCATTTCGTACGAAACCACGGCTCTGTCCCTCATTTGCGCTGGCAAACTCATCGACTTGAAGTCGAAAATGGGAAGCTAGTGTTGACCATGGAAGAGCTGAAGGACGAATTTGATGCCATTAATATTCCCGTCCTTATTGCATGTGACGGCAATAGACGGAAGGAAGTGAACATGACCAAAAGGTCAAAAGGGTTCAACTGGGGACCTGGCGCTTGTGGGTGTGCGTATTGGAAAGGACCGCTGCTTCGAGATGTCCTCCTTGCAGCAGGGTTACCACCGGAGGCTTCACAACGGCGGACTTGGGTCAACTTCGAAGGGGCAGATCAACCCAACGAGGGCAAGTATGCAACATGTATCCCGCTGGATTATGCCATGGATCCGAATAACGATGTTATTCTTGCGTATGAGATGAATGATAAAGCACTACCACCGGATCATGGGTATCCTGTGCGCGTCATTATTCCTGGCTATGTCGGTGGAAGATGTGTGAAATGGCTATCGCGCATCTGGACGTCTGACAAGCCAAATGATAGTTATTACCATGTGTTCGACAATCGCGTGGTGCCTGATTTTATCACTGAAATGGATTCAGAATTTGCGAAGGCGATGTTTTCCAACCCCAGCACTGCGTGTAACGAACAAAGCCTGAATTCTGTGATTGTTAAACCTGCCCATGGAGAGACACTGGATCTAGTCTCAGAGAACAATATAAAACGGAAGGAATATAGGGTTGAAGGGTATGCATATGCTGGAGGAGGCCACGAGGTTCAGCGTGTTGAGGTTAGTCTAGACGAAGGTAAAAACTGGCTTTATTGTATCCGTAGGGTGAGTACATCCATGCTTGCCATCATTTTCAGTCTGCAAACCAGTGGAAGCCATGACACGGGGGAATTACTGATTAAAATCATTATCGTCGCTCAGTTTCCGGACGCACCAATTCGCCATGGCAAAAAGTTCTGGACTTGGGTTCACTGGTCTGTGGATGTCGACATTGCACACTTAGCCCAAGCAAGTGGTATCACAGTCCGATGTTTCGACGTCTTCAAAAATTGCCAATCGGAAAGGCTGAACTGGAATTTATTGGGGTTGGTACACCTTGCGTAGAACTATGCAAGACATGTAACTAATGATGCCTCGCGAATTTAGTATGATGAACAACTGCTGGTACACCGTCCGTAGAAATATCGTCGAGGACCCCAAATCTGGTGATCTATTGATCACCTTCCGGCACCCTACAGAACCAGGGTCGGGTGAAGGGGGCTGGATGAAGCCGGAGCAGATTGATGAGATCCGACATGAAGTGGCCGCTCCACAGAAGCAGTTTACTCGCGAAGAGATTGAAAAGCATGACTCGGAATCAGACTGTTGGATCGTCATCAACAATAAAGTTTACGATGCCACGAGCGTGCTCGGCTGGCACCCGGGCGGCCAAGCTGCCATTATGGCACATGCCGGGAGGGTTCATGCGGAGACCACAGAGGAATTTGACAGCATCCATGATGATTATGCCCAGCAGAAATTGAGCGGTATGCACATCCTGTAGAGTCCAACGTTTGGAGAGGATATTGCGGCACAGATGCCACTGCCCTCGTAAATGTGCATCGCTAACACAACAAACAGAATGCGTGCTTGGTGTTGTAACTGATAAGACGAAAGAATATATAAAGAAACAAGCTGAAGAGAGCGCGAAAGCAAGGGTGACGGCCAACTCGACTAGTTCTGGCTCTGGGATCCAGCGTCACAAGTAATGAACCTCTCCTAAACGATATTGTCCCATAAAGATAATTAGCTAACGGGCTTATTCACAATAATCAGATGGACCCAGGTCCGCCTCCGCAAGAAAGAACGACTTTCTGAAGACACCCAACTTTATACCTTTGCTCTCCCACCAGGCACAAAAGGACTTGGCCTCAAGACTTGCCAGCACATTCAGCTGGGATTCCACTTTGCTGACAGGCTGGTAATTCGACCCTACACACCTGTACGACCCATATTCGAAAGCGAAGCAGATGGCACCTTTAAGCTCGCCGTAAAGACATATTTCCCAAGCTCTAAGCAGCCGGGCGGCACGATGAGCAACGTGCTGGACTGTTTGCGTGTAGGCGAAGAAGTCGAAGTCAAAGGCCCCGCAGGTGTAATTGAATATGAAGGCCAAGGCCACTTCGTGATTGACGGCAAGAGGCTCAAATTTCAAAACGTCACGCTAATCCTTGGCGGGTCTGGCATTACACCAGGATACCAGCTCATAGCGCATATTCTCCTCTCAGATATGGTGCCTGGCGGTTCAAAGGACCCAACCCGCCTCAGAGTAATAGACGCGAACAAAACAGAGGATGACATATTGTTAGTGGATGAGCTTGGTGAATTTGCGAAACAGCACCCGAAGCAGTTTCAAATAGTGCATGTTCTTTCAAATCCGCAGCAAGAGTTGACGGAGGGGAGGATCAAGGGGTTGGTGAATAAGGATATTATCCGGAAATATGGGTTTAGGCCTGAGGAAGGGAACGTCGCCCTTCTGTGTGGACCGCCTGGGTTAATTAAGATGGCAGCGCTACCAAATTTGAAAGACTGGGGGTATAAAGAGGATGAAAACCTTTTCGGGTTCTGAGTGAGTGAGAGCCTCAGGATATAGGCGATGTGGTGGTGGCGGTGGTGCCCGTTTTGTGTAATATCTGCACACCTAATACTCCAGATTGATTGTCCTTCGGTTCACCGATTATTATTGTTCCATGTTTAGTGCTTCTCTCTTGGCTTTCATCAGCAGTGTACTCTGTACGGAGTACGAAGTACAGAGTACGTTCCTGGCGACGCGTACTTGGTGCCACAACCAAAGAGCGCCTCAAAGCGGCCATAACCGGGGTCCAAAGCCATGCCAAAAGTTCATTCATAGCCCTGAGGTGAAGTTCAAAAATTAATGCCAAGTAGATAATCACAGGCAGAACCAGTTTCTTAATAAGTAATATAATTAGCCATAATTTTAAGAAAAATAGGAAGTTTCGAAAGTGCAAAGTACTTGGTGACGAAGCACACATTAAATATAATATTGCTGGTGTGGAGACTCGTGCAAAATAGTACATTCATTAATAAAAGTGCAGGTGAATAAAGATAAAATAGTTCCCTCGATCCCTCAAATCTATAAACTAATTGTGATAGGATAACAGCGCTGTCAGGCTCATGCAACCCGTTCTGCCCGGTCCTAAGATACCTACGGACCCTCGAACACGTTTCCCTGAAGCGGAAACATTGGCCGAATCTAATCTTTGTTCCAGATAGCGGCGTACTTGATGCAGCCACGCTCCTCATAACCGCTGACAACGGAAAGGGTGTAGCCCCTCTTGACCAAATCGTCGAAAGTCTGCTGGTATCTCCGGGCAGTCATGCCATGTCTGGCTACGAAGACAGAGTTGGACTTCTCCCAGATGGCAGCGAAGTAAGTCTTGCCGTCGACGGAGTAACCGTTGACCTGGACTGGTCGGAGGCCCTTCTTCAAGTTCTTGTCGAATTCCTCCTGATATCGCTTGCTGGTGAGGCCGAAACGAGCAACCCACTCGGTCTTTTTGTTGGTCTTCTCCCAGATCGCGGCATAGCGGGCCTCCCTTCCTTCAGCGTAGCCGCTAACATAGGTCAGACGATATCCTTCCTTAAGGAGCTCGTCGAAAAGTTTTTGGAATCCCTCGGCAGACATGCCGATCCTCTGTTCCCAGGGATCCTTGGACGCCTTGTCCCAAATGGTAGTGAATCTGGCGTTTCCTTTGACGGTGTAGCCATCGATGACAGTGGGTCGATAACCCTCACCACGGAGCTTCCAGAACAGGTCAGGGTAATCTTTGGCATCGATTTCGCCCCTGGCGGCGAAAGTAGGCTTCTTTTCGTGCTTCTCGAAAATGCCAGCAAAGAGGGGGATATCGTTCAGGGTGTATCCGCTGACCTCGACAAGGCTGTAGTTCCTGGCCTCGAGAACATCGAAGGTCTTTTGGAATTGATCACGGGTCATACCATGGCGGGCTTCCCAAGCGGCGGCGTTGACCTGAAGGGCGGATAGGAGCGCAACGGCTCCGGTGAGTGCCAGTTTCATTACAGAAGGCATGGTGCTGGGCTCTTGAGTGTCACGTAGACAACGTCAGGCAGGTGATAACTGCTAGATAAATTGTTAGTTAACATCTTGATAGGCCAACCACAAATAGGAGAAACCCACCGATAGTAAAGACGAATAAACTTAGTAGGTAAAGACCGAATGAGCGACTGTGGAAACGAAAGTACAGGATAAAAGAGCGTGGGTAGGTGGCCAACGTATGGACATGGAGATGCTGTTTTCGCAAGGCAGCGCCATTCTTATATGAATTTTGGCAAGGGGGAATCGAATTCCTCGGAAATGCTTTTGCCGAAGAGTTGTCTCAATTGAATTCGCTGTCACTGCGCCCCTGTAAAACGAAGCGAAGCGCTGAAAATCTGCCTTCTGTTCGTATGTACCCTTACATTCATTTGATCCCTCCCCAGACGATAAAAATGTGGGACTGCGAGTGGATGCGATGGTGTGTTGATCAAGGCTAGCTGCAATTGGCGCCAGTCCGCCACAATGGCAGGGAAAAGTGTTTGCCCTTTCCATTGGGCCCAGAGAGCGTGCGACGGTGCGAGACCCAATGACCATATCAAATTGGCTACTTCTCTTACTCTAAATTCCCGTTCGGAAACTAGAGATGCTGGTTTGCCCGCCCTCCAAACTCTCTCTGCGGATCATTGAAACCTCGTGGGAATTAACAGAATTTCTAAGAGGCACAGCGAGCGCGCAAAACAATATCGAAAATATCTTTGATAGATTCTTGGAATGCAAGGCCAGTAGTGCTTCAAGGATGCAGAATTTCAGCCTCAACCTGGTCCACAATCCCGAAGTGCTCAACACGCTTCCCTTGCATAATTCTGGCAGCAGATCGAATAGTCAACTGTTATTGGCAATTATCTTCGTATTCTGGCCAGAGCTCATTTTACCCTCTGCACAAGGCTCCGCAGAGGGATTCTAGAACCCAGTGCCCTTCGCCGAGCAAAAGGGGGTTTTCCAGCGAGAGCAAGCGGCTGATTGGCTGCTGCCAAATCCTCCGGACCCCGGATTGAGCCTCATTTTGATATCTAGGGCGGGCGAAGGAGGAACTATTGTGAACAAGCGCTGGACTGGTGAGGACTGCACTCGTTTATCCGGATGCGATGGAAGATGTTGTTCATCGTATTTTTGCTGCCGGGAGGAGGCTGAAACGTTAGGTTTGATGACAAAGCAACACATTCGGCGACCTTCTTCCACATCAACACAATTGTTGATGTTGAGCATGAATTATTGGTTGACGCTCTGTGTCTGTTCCTCTTCTCGTCCTGACAATAGCCAAGACATCATTCGTGAATGGACGGACCTGAGAGTAAATATCCCAAGAATGCACATCTTCCTTCAAGCCCAGCACACAGTTCCTGGACGCTAAAACTACGATCGAATAATGAGCCAAAATGGGGCAACCTGAGGCCCCCCATTCTTGGCTGGCCTCTGCCAGGCGGTGGGGACACACGGCGGCGACTGCCCAAGGCGTTTTCGATGGTGGATCGCGATTGACTACTATTTGTTGACCGTCAAGTGCCAACAGTTCGCGCGCATCACCGCCTGAATCTCGTCAACGAGATGAATTTCATATGCTGCTTGCCTCTGTTGAAGTGCCTCAATCCAGAGACACACAGGCACTTGAGATGATTCTGAACGGCGAATATTGTCATGAGATTTCGGTATTGAAACCTCTGCTTTGTTCATCATCGTGCGACCTTCTGGGACACTGGAAGTTGGGAAAATTGATACTTTTTCAGTAACTACTGGAAACAGGGGCTGCAGTACTGCGTACCCAGCTGCTTGATTTTCTCAAAAAGGGAGATTTTCAAACAACATTTTCCAAAGCTTCGCCTTTTAGAGTAGGCACCAGCCCTGGTAAGCATGCCCCTACCTCTCTATTCCATTAACCGGTTCTTACAGAGAGCAGGCTTCCTAATTATTATTCACAGTGATGAACACCACAATGATTCTATCTCTAGCTACCAAAACGTTCGCACGCCGTCCCTATCCGCAGTGCCATCCCCATCGCCAACGCCTTCACCAACGTCCTTGCCTGATTGCGCCGAGAAATAGTCTCTCAAGCGTGGACTTGGGTCTACCCACTTGCATCCTGAGTCACCACGCAAGCGTGCAGCATACTCTCAGAGCTCCCATGTGTTTCTTGGTCAGGGAGAAATTAGAAGACAAGAAAATGACTGTTTATCTGTTGTGATGTGTTGCACGAAGCACTCCTCAGAGGAGCAATTCAATATATGACAAGAACACTGTTCAAACCCAGAATGTACTCAGAGGGGTGAACCTGCCTCGAGTTATAGACAGCTTGCTGGATACATAGAGAATGGGAGAGAATATGTTCTGGTTGATTGAGATGCTTCCTGAGAGTCAGCAGAGGGTTTTCCATCAGCTGAGGTAGAGGCTACTAACCAGCATAGACCTTGAAAGCGAGGAAGCCTCAAGAAGGCTGCTTGATGCAGTTCATAGCGAACTATGAAGGTGTAACAATCTTTAAGGAAACTAATCCCTAATCCTGTGCTCTGTTTGAGGTTAAATCAACATCTGGATCTCTTGCACTATGATTTCAAAGTAGATTTTTCACATGATTGTAGTTTTCTCTATGCCCAGCTCAGTGAGTATAGCCAAGCAGCCCAGTTCCCTCCACATCTTGCAGATTCACATCCGCACCTCTTTTGATCAGCAGTTCAATCGCTGCAAGAGATTTGTCTTCTGCCACTCAGCTTAAAGCTGATCTTTCATTCCGCTCTGTTCTGTGTAGCTCAGCACTCTGGTTGAGAAGCAACTCCATGACATCAAGTTGACTCCACTCAGCGGCTCAGGAGAGAGGGATTCTCCCAGTGATACCTGTCTCTTTCATCTTATTCTTCTTCTTGTTGATCAACTCTATTATATGCTTGATGAGTAGTATAACAGCAGCTATAGTGAGCTACTCATATTCATAAATTGCCATTTTATAAACACTAAATGTTGTCAGCTCTCATCTGAGACTGTGTAGACAGCTCACCAACCTCTTTTTTCGAATCCAGTCGGTCATTATTGATGGGGAATATGTGTGGGGAGATTTCTAAGATTTTGTAATGTAAATGAAGTAAGGTAGCTGTCAGCTTAAAAGAACTGTGAAGTAGAGAGCATCCCAACTCTTTAAGTGTTGATTGCCTTATATCGCGTGGCGTTCAAATAATAAGTACTTCGAATCTGACCCACCAATCTATTTCTAGTTGGCTGGTGGAATTTATGTCAAGTGATTGGCCAAATGGACATACTTAACATCTTAACATGATAGAGTAAGTGTCATTGAAAACGATTTGCCCAAAATCTGAGATATCGCCGGCATGGTAGTTGGTTAGCTCCAGTTGGACCTCGGCGTCCCATTGCGGACTAGCGCGCCGCACACTCAGACATTCCGAGCGCGACAGCGATATGTCACGTGACATAACCGAGCACAGACTGGGCCTAAGAGCTGTTTTTGAAGAACCTTGAAGCGTGCAAGTGGACGCGACGCGCGCTCTAAAATAAGAAACATATACCCTCCACTTATAATAACGCAATCAAAATATTAAAGGGTCTCCTAAGAATGCAACACAACTACAAGGATCATTTGCAGATTCAAAGCAAAAGGAAATAGCTTGTGTTGATAGATCTGTAGAAGAATCAGACACTTTGATCCTCAGATCACTTGCCCCTACCACTCGCGTCAACATTCAGTCAAAGCACATTTGGGATATTTATTGTTGGAGAACCCCGCACTCGGGCAAACTCTTTTTCAGCCGCATGTTCTCATCTCTGGAATTACGAGCACTCATTTCGGATTTTGAGGCTGGTGGATTTGAGTTCCATTCGGGTGACTAATCTGGGATTCTGTCATTCTAGAATAGTTAGGGCCTGTTCAGTGCGGCTGTGTGTACTCATTCTTTTTATACAGATCTCCACTTTTTTTAAAAAGTACAACCCCAATATCATGACTGTTCAGTGGACAGAGTGTCTGTACTAATAATACAGCTGCTTTTTACAAAGTACAGATGAAAATAGTCAGATATTCAGTGAATACAGATGAAAATAGTCAGATATTCAGTGAATTGAGCAGCTGTACTTGCATCTCTTGTCAAGATCTTATGAATAAACAGTTTTTAACTTCAACAGTATGTGATGATGTAGAATAGCACTTTTAGAGACAATATAGTGTATAATAGTGTAGAATAGTGTTCATAGTAGAGATAGTTAACTAATATTGATTAGAAGAAAGCTCACAAAAATATGTTCTTTTTGAATGAACTCTGGACTCTGTTCAAAAAGAATGCATTTTTGTGAGCTTTCTTTCTTCATCTCAGAGCAGTGAGCAGGGTGGAATAGTGTGGTGGCACAACACCGGCTTGCTACTAATAATTGGTATATATACTATTTTTAATGAGATCCACTATTGCATTCAAAAAGTACGGACGCACCGAACAGGCCCTTAGTTACCTTTTTCACCCCGTTCAAAATATCAGCATTGTTGCTGTCTGGAATCTTCTCATCTGCTAAACAATCACCTGCTGATGACATTTTGAATTCATCGCCAGCACAAAAACATACACCACAGTATGAATGCTCACATCTGCATTGGTTGCTTTTCAGATTCATTTCCTCACACTGGCAGCACTTCATAGAAGGTAGCTTACCCCAGATACCTCTATTTTGTTGTGCCTTTCCTGTTGTTTCCGCTTTTGGTTCTGCTCAGAATACAACATAAAGAGCGCATCTTCTGTATTTGAATCCTCGTTGGTGTCTGAATCTATGTCGATGTCGATGGTTTGGCTTGGACCGATTGCTAGTGCTTTGGTTGGTTTGTTGGCATCAAGGTTTGCCTCAGTACTGAGAAACTTCCCGAGTTTTCTTGGTGGTTGCAAGAAGTCCCCAGAGCTGCCCTGACCGTCACTCTGCTTGATGAGGTCCGAATATTTGCGTGATTCCATTTTATTGGCGTGATTGCAGTTTGAGGTTGTTGTCTTTCAAGTGATAGGTGGTGGTGCCATACAAGAGGATTTCCCCAAAGACACGGATAGTTTTTCGAAGAACAGAATACGACGGAAGCACAAAGGGGTCTTAACATAATCAAGCGCCCATGACGCTGCGTTTGCGGTTGGCCTTAATATGGAAACAATCTATCGCGATGTAAATCCGTAAGAATAACTAAATAACTAATGGACGGTAAAAGGGCGGGGTCCTAGTATCCCCGTGTTTTCAACCCGCACTCGTATCCACTACATCATCGTCGGCCACGTATAAGAACCTTAATATCCATTCTCATTGGAACGCGGGAGTACAAATGCACGATTTGACTGCGATGATTGGGGATACAACCTACATCTCAATTTGTAATGTTGGATCGTTAGCGCACCAGCAAATCTTGATAATTGGGGAACTACTAACAGTAGAACCTTTTGTCATTGTCCTTGTCAGGCACTATCATAGTAATGACTAGTAGCTAATGAAAGACAGGTGCTTGGATGAGAAGTGCTATGTTGAAGCTGATGTACCCCGTATACTGCGGATAACTGAAAGTTGGAACGAGATCAACTTGGCTCCAAAAGCATCCCTACCCCATCTAAATAATGAAAATATATCTTAAACAAGGCCTTGCCCGGCCCTTGCATAATATCATTTAAAGAAAAAGTTCATTCTCACAGACAAACTCGGGATTTGATCAAGCAAAGAGCATTCTGGGTAAGCTAAGCAGGCTTTTCATCATGTAACTCCTTCGAGGGACCTCTACACTCTGATCCCACCTTACACTCTAGCGGCGAGTCTAGCCACTGAAATGTATGAGAAATATTATAATATGCTGTCCAATCCCAGTTCTAATTGTCAGTAAAGTGTTATCAGATATAGGACACTCTGATTGACACAGGCGACCCTGCATAAGCGGCTAATCACATAAAATGCAGCCACTTAAAGACACCGCAGTCAAAACCGCATTAAAAGTGAGATCAAAGATGAAATGAAGTTTACATCTCACTTACCCTTGACTCTTCCCTTCCAGCTGTGAGAAAGATATTGAGCCAGTAATTACACAGTGACTAAAGATTTGACAGCAAGCTATGATAAATCATGAAATCCTCTAACAATGAATTAGAATGACACAAATCTCAAATATATATCTAATAAAACTGTAAAGTCATTTAAGAGCAATTTCTTTAAGAACATTGTTGAAGCATATGCAATTGTTTAAACTAATAAGAGTGATACACTAGAAAGATTATTCTCTGACAAGTATTTAATTATTATGAGATTAGAATATGTGAATGAAAATAACAGTCTCTCTAGATTCAAATATATAAAAAAATTGAATCATAAAGAGTATATTCTTGTACCAGGAGATGATAATATGATTCTAAGTGATAAAGGAGAGGGAATATCACTTCTTAATATGTTGAGTATGATATGTCAGAAGATAGCCTATTTATAATTAAATGCTCGGCACTTATATATTGCAAAATTCAGTACTTAGTACTTACTGCATATAGCATATCTTTCTTGACCTGTATTCTTATCATTTCAACAAATTATGTGTCATCATCTCTGAATAATCTCCCTCATAGAATTCTGTTGCGTCACTAGCAGATGCATTAGAAAGGTCATATTGTGGTATTTGAGTGTCAGTGATGAGGGCTAGTGATTGTCAATAGCTGTTTGTGGAATCAGGCTGTGAAAGAGAAAATGCCATACTGTGATTATTTGTGTGTCCGTGATAAGAGCAGGGTCTGCTGAAGAAAGTTCACAGTAGTTCCATGACAGCTGGCATGGAACTATCTCTTGTCTGTGGAATATCCGCCCAGGCGTCTCCCATTGCCATATTATTGTTGGAGGAAATGACTGACAGTCACTCTGTTGTTGCCTGTTTTCGGCTCAAAGTGTTCCTCCACATGTCCATTTCGTCCATATTTCTTGAAAGTTGGGGCAAGTGTGTCGTATTCAGGGTAGGTTGGAAACCGGGCCCCTAACCGGACACTGGTTAGCCTTGTTAATATGCTTTCAGCTATTGCTTTGTACATGTACATGTACGGAGTAACATACTCCGTACAATACAAAGCTATTGCAGCTTGCGCTAGTGCATTCAGGCTGATCATTGGTAACTAGTTAGTGAAGTAGGTGGGATATGCTGAACAAACTGTTGGACAATGCTACTTATTTAAGCCTTGTAGCACAATCTTTAACAACTCTTACCTAGCACGATTCATTAAAAAGGGGTCCACATGCTGCTCGAGGTTTTCCACTGGATCAGAAATGCCACTTGAGCTAACTATATTAAATCCAAGCTTATGCAGCATAGACAAGACACAACCAGCTCCAGTCCGAAACGAGTGTGTCTAGCTAGCTTATAGCTATTATTGCCATATAAGGATCCAACTTCCCCCAACCTACATTCCGTGGATATCCAAACTGGGTTCCACGCATCCTCGCAATCTCTTGCATTGGTGAGTCTGCTATTCTTCGCCTACTTGAGGAAGCACAGCTAACATAGCCAAGGATATTAAACCCAACCCCGCCACTTCTGGTGATGGCAAGCCCACGTGTCAATCTACAGTCGACAAGGTTCGCGATGTCCAGTCCCATACCTCCATCAATGGCCTGTATTTGATCGGCCAAGCTGATTGTTTCTCAGAGTATTCTGATATCCGCGGTGATGTATGAAAAATCAATGGAATTGACATCACCAATGCTAATTCTAAATAGATATGTCGTGGCGATGAAAATGTATCCTTGGGGTTCATTGTATTCATCTCAGATCCTGTACTTCAAGAGCCGTTGAAGTATCTGAAGTATCTGAAGGCTCAAACTCCTCATCTCAATGATATCCTACAGAGATCCGGCTCATATAAAAATGAAAAATAAAACCCCCTACAGCAGGGCCCCGAGTGCTTTGTGTTGAAAGTGGAGGTTCATCCAGTAGGAGATGCTAGCCAGCGAGGATTTCGCGTTTCGAAAACACCAAGCAGCATGGCACAACCTGACGGTCATCCTTTGCTGATTTTACATAACAAATCGGAACCAACCACTCCTCTGCATTTGGGCTATATAACCCAACTTTCCAACCAAATACGCTCGATGAAAGAGCCCTCAGTCACTCATCCACTACTGTCACAACTCACGTATTGTACAGTACCTCTACTTTATCACCCATTTGCTTCCTCAAATATCCCATCCAGGTCGTTTCAAACGCCCCATCAAGCACAAGCTCCGTCAACCCGCTCATCCTCCCTACCTCCAACATGAACTGCCTATCTTCTCTCCATCCCCATCTCGGCTGCATCCCATACCCTTCCTCATCACATTCATAGCACTCATAATCCCTCTCACCCAACTCAGCCAAACGAACACGAAGGTACCTCAACCCCTTCGCATCCCTGGTTAATCGGCGCAGCAGAGCCCGTAAGCGCTGTTCCTGACCGTCACTCACCACCCCGCCAAATTCGGTCATGATTATCGGACCCCCATCGACGAAAAACTGCACGCGTTTCAGAAGTGAGACGTTTCGGGCTCCGATTTCATCGAGCCATATGGTATCACGCGGTATGTTACGGAGGATGAACCCGTTCTCCCTGTAGAGAACCGGAGTCGCTTCGTCATGTATTTGCGTGCATGTTGCGAGGAGGGAAGGGCTAAGGGAGGTTTGTCGCTTGTTATGGGGGTCGGTCTATGGGATGACTGGCAGTCAAGCTCGCGTTGTATATTTGATGGCGTAGCTCGTACGGGAGTAGGAGGAGGAGACAGGGTGAAAAGGACTTTGGCTTATTGCATCGGCTGGAGGTTGAACTGATAGTCATGATATCTTTGTTTCGTGTAGCAGGAGAGGAGGGAACAATTATGTTTGGGGAACGATAGAAAAATTATCATACATCAGTTATGTTGCCCTTCATATTAATAACCTTGCCCACGATTTCATTCTTCCTTGCAGGGAGGGACAGGCTGCCCGCCTTTATCTTACTTCAATCCCCTGTTTCTTTTAATATTTAAATTTAGAACACCGCCTCTCCTGCAGGGAATTTTATCCATTTAAGAGGCAGAAGTTTGTCAGCGGATTACGTATTTTTGCCTATCAGGGATGGAAACGTTGCACGTTCTGGCAGCGAGCTGAGGCGATGATTCAGCATGGCTTCTCAGCCTCACCAGGATGTGAAAGCAGAATATCTACATAGTAGCCCTCCCATTAAGAATCTCGAAAGTAGCAAAATGAGAGCCGGGTGGGAAGGCTCGGTAGACCTTATTTTTCCCAACCCCCCTTTCGGCAGATGGGAGGTGTTTATCCGTATTACCAGTGCTGGTAACTCTGAAATTATGTAGTTATCTGAATTACATTTATGGTACTTACACAGAGTGGGACAATCGACACCTAAGGCTACTTCAAATCGGGAATAGCTAATGAACACAAGAAGAAGTACGCTGTGTGCGAGAGAGAGATAGAGAGTGAAAAGAGAAAATAATCATTAGTTTGCCTGCTTGGTGTTCATGGGCGCTTATATACAAAGTCAATACGTAGGTACAGTACATACTCGGAAGACAATTAATGAGCCACCCAAAGTGCGTACGGGCGATGTAGAATGCGAGCAGTGTGGATGGTGGATGAGAGTAAAATGTATGTGGTGGATTTCTAGGAAATTTCGGATATCTCTCATCACTTCCCTACGTTATGCACCCTGGACGTCTTTCGCACGGTTACAACGCCGTCTGAGCGTGGTGTGTCGGTTTCTCGTCGTCCTGTGGTTCTATAGAGTGGCTTACTGAGGCTCTCCTATAACCAGCGAGCACTTCGGCCTGTACGTCCTCTTCGAAAACATCCACTACAGTTTCAGGGAATCGCCTCGCAGAAACGCCACGCTCGAACAGGATATCCAGTTCTGCAAAGGACCGGCCACGCGGCTCCGGGACACGGAAATACGTGTAAATGATACAGCAGAAGCACACACCACCCCAGAAAAATCCCGCATAGTTAGACCAATTCCACGCACTTGGGTTCAACATGTATGGAGTCAACACGTTGCAGAAGATAGCCGCTATGTTGTATAAAATCCTTCCCAGCACGACGGTCTTGATCTGCAAACGCCGGCTCGAAAGTTCGCCCACAAGAGAGTAGCAGACTGTGCCGACAGTGAGTTGGTAGACCAAAGCCCAGACCAGCATCATGGATCCGGTTGCCAGCGCGCCACTGTTGCGGTTGCTCTCGGGAACAAGGCCAAGGAATCCCATTACCAAAAGCATGACACAGAGACCGCACAGACCGAACATGTAAAGGGTCCTTCGGCCAATGCCGCGAGACATGAGAACCCATGCACCGAACACGCCTATCATGTTGATTCCGTATTGGCCCATGGCGAAGGAGTAGGAATGTACAGTCGACACACCAGCCTGTTCGAGGAAGTATGTAGAATAGTTGGAGAATGAGTTTCCGCTAAGATTCTGGATCGCCCAAACCATACAAACAATTTCCGTCCGGCGCAAGTCAACTCCCCTGAAACAGTCGAGATAGCTGGCACCGCTGGTAATTTTCTGTTCTAATGCTGTGGTGTGAACAATCATTGCAATTGTCTCGTCGGCATCGAAGTCCGTTTCCCGATTCAAACTCGTTAGCCGAAGGAGGGCACGTTTTGCTTCCTCAGTCCTGCCCTTTCTCACCAACCACCACGGAGATTCTGGTGCCATGAAAATCGCCAGAGCCAATGGGAGGGGCCACATCCATTGCAATGCGTACGGGATTCGGTATGACCATTCATCAGGTCGGCTCAACAGGGCTTTGAGTACTCCAATTCCAATGAATTGGCCAAGACCCCAGCAGAAATTGATGTAAGTCGTAAGATAGCTCCGCAGAGCAACGGGACAGACTTCAGTAGCGTAGGTGATGCACAGGGTCTGGAAAACGCCCCATGGAATACCACAAAGGATCTCAGCTACCAACAAGGCCTCCACATTTTGTGCAGTGAAGAATACCGTAATCAACCCGGAAAGGAACAACAGACAGGTTAGAATCGTATATCGGTAACCAAAGCGTTCAGAAGCCCAGCCGTTGATAAATAGCCCTATAATTTCACCGACGACTGCACCATTGCTAAGAGCTGCTTGCCACTGTACGGCGAAAATAAATAAATAATAGGTTGTTTAGATCCATGAAAATGAACATTATAGAACAACGATAGAAGTATAAACAAAATTTCTATGAACCTACCTTGGCAGGGACTTGGTATTCATTCCCGTATCGGACTCCATATTTCTCGTTCCACTGAGGGAAAGCGTAGAAATTGTTCACCAAACAAATATCATAGCCTTCCATAACAATGCAGGTTGAGATGAGCACACTCCATGCAGCTGCTTTTGGGTAGAGCTTCAGCCCCTGTAGCAGGGTCATCCGCTGCTCCTTGTCAGCTGCCAATTTCGCACTCTCAAATATCTCGCTCTTTGTCATCATGGAGGATTTGCCCAGGCTGGCGCCACCCGCATTTTGAGCCGCCGGCTCGACGCCACCAGCGTTCTTAGGGCCCGTCATGAAGTTTAAGCCAGGCCAGGCACAGAATGCTGAGCGCGAGGCTCTATTGGAAGGCTGAGGTGGATAAGTGGTGAATTAAATTTAAAGGGTCGAAGGGGGCGACCGCGGAACTCGCGAAACTCGAGAGGGGAAAGAGAGCGAGCAGGCACAAAGAAAAAAAGGGGAAAAAAAAGAAATACAGCGGTGGATTTTCGCTCAAAATAACATGGGCGGTAGTTACGGTACTGGGGAAGGCACGTGAAGATTTGCAGGCTTTCAAGCAAACCTTCCAACTAAAACGGGAAAATCTGGGGGAGAAAGTTCCAGAAAAACACCGTAATGACAGCAGGATCTGATTCGCTGTGTTCCATCCCCATTCTGGCAATCCAGTCTAGTCTTGCCCCTCGCCCGATCAACTGCGGAGTGAGTTTCCAGGGCTTCCAAGGCGGGTTCCAAGAGGCTCTTCTTCAGCAGGTTCAAGCAAGCCCTTGTCAAGCAGGGCCGCAGTCGGGTGGACCAGGTCACGTGGACCCGGTACGCCGAGTTTGGGTGCTCCGTGCTAGATCGGCCGGCCAAATAGCTCTCACTATCTTATTATGATGCCCTTCAACAACCAACCCCCACAAACTAGGTTCGAAAAAAATTAAAAAAGAAATTGTTTTTTAAGAACCAAAAAAAAAAAAAAAAAAAAAAAAAAAAAAAAAGAGATTTCACTCCATCACCCGTGAATCGAAACACGAGTCGGTGACTCCGCAGTCATGGCAAACGATGGATTCTACCACTAGACCAATGATGCTGCTTTGCTGAAGAACCTCAGCTCCCCACCTTGTCCCAAACTTTAACCTCCAACTCTGTACACCAAAATTAGGCAAGTGAGACAAGCCCCAAGAGTCAATGATGACATGATATCTACCCCGAAACACTAATGTTTCAGTAGCACGCTGATTATCAATTTGACTGGTGATGGGCAACAAACAACGCTCCATGACGAAAATAGTATGGCCAACTTGAGACTTTAGACATTGGGTTTGTGCTTTGGGTGTGAAAAACATATACTGAAGAGGTTCTTTCGCGATGTCCGTCTATTGGGCGTTATATACATATATATTTATATATATATATATATATATATTTGCGGGGTTTCAAAGGGTTAATACGTCCCGCTATTATTGTGAACATGGTTTTCTCTCAGTCACCAGCCGAACTTTTCAACGAGAATGATTGTCCCGGGTTGTACTGTGGAGGAATGGCCATTTGACGAGCGAAGTTTAACCTACGAAGCTGTGCTTTGCAGATTGCTGTCATAGAAGATATCTAATTTTAAAAGGTCCGAATCCCCAATTGATCGACGGGATATCAACGCCAAATTGCCCCTTCTGTCTGGCTTTTGAGCCAGCCCTGTAAAGGGGGTTAGCAATGAGATATGATAGCTGTCAGTAGAATCACGGTTCTAGACGTTTCCTGCCCCTAACGGTTATCGGAGTGGGGTTATCGGAGTGGAGCAAAACAATCCGCAGCTTGGAATGAAAAAAAAAAGAAAAGAAAAGAAAAAAAAAGAAAAGAAAAAGAGAAAAAAAGGTCGTGTCGCGCTTAGCATCGCAGATAATTCCGCCTTCTGTACTCCGTACGGACTGGTAGATGGAGAATATAACGATGTTAGAACGGGTGTGCAACATTGTGTAGCTTCCAATGGTTCCCTAGCCCATGACTCAGGATGAAGAGATACATTCTTTACCCTCTCATCAGAAGGTAAATGCTCTGCTGATTGGAATAGTAAATAAAGGGGGTTGCCAGGGCCGAGAGCGATCTGAGGACAGGGAATATTATTAATCCGACCTCCTAAACCGATCTTGCGATCGTGGCGTCTTGACTGCATCTCCTCTGATGACATTTCCCATAAACGACAATTAGCTGAGAAGTGCGACTCAATTCATGCATGTTACCTCTTCATGTATCAGAGAGAGAATGGAACCTCGGAACCTCTGCTGGATGCGAGAGCATCGATCATTAAACATGGGTTCCTGTGAGGGTTTCTGTGACGCAGCAAACTAGGATCGATCGGCCGACTGTCTACAACATTAAGCTGAATAGTATGCATCTTTTCGGGAAGGCCGGCAAAGAGGTTTATTTATTCATCAGCGTCCGCTGATCACATCTTGACGACTTTCTGTTGAATTTGTTTGTCACCCTTTCTGACGCGGGCCAACATCCGGCGACATGCAGAACGCAGCATTGACAACTCACGCAAGAAGTCTACCCCTTATGTCGTGATACATTTCTTGGCTATATGAGAAAGCTGGCGCAATCTACATACTTCCTCTGTTCAGCATTGGAACCGTCACGGCCCCCACGGGTGCGTGCGAGAATGTGGGAGCCCTATTACCCGTGCAGTCACCAAAAATACCCTACAGCTACTTTTGGGGCAACTATACCTAGCCTTTGTTTCAGGGACCTCGCGACGTATCAAATAGGTGTCACCAACACTGTCCGTCATGGTCGCGCGTTTGACGCGGCATTACTTGTCCCGATTGTCATGCTTAACACATGCACTTCTCAAATCCATCAGCGAGTCAATTCCCTCGATATTTGGTGGTAGTCCCGTACAGCATGTTTACATATACAGTACTTTTTTAACAAAGCCACACGTTTGCCGAAACCCATTCTTATCTCGTCCCACATAATCGAGCTGCTATGTAGAGCCGCGTAGACTCATTGACGACACCTGTGGATCCCTAGTGCGCCTTAACATGGGCGCACTAACATTTAATATCGGAGGCGCTCAGCACATCCATCATATAAGCAGCGATGCGAGCATTCAAAAACGGATGATGTGCCGTTATTCCTTGACACCACTCATACAAGTCCGGCGATGACAATGCAACGGTTTTAGAAAGATTCCGCCGAAATGTGGGAGCTTGAACTTTTGACTCCGAGCCCTTACTGTCTCTTCTACAAATGCAGGTCCTGCCAGCGTGTACGCCGAAATAATAATTGATGTGCGCTTCCGCTATTATCAAACTCGGGGTGGAGGGTGCACCTTCCCTTGAACTCGGTCAAACCGGCCAAACCAAAATATTATAACGACAAAAGCAAGATTCTCTATGCTCCAAGCATAAGATATGCTACATGGCATGCTACTGCATTCATCCTTTGAGATTTAACGTTGCCTCTTGTTAGAATAAGTCTAACCTTGGCTATACCGGTCAACTTTGGTTTTTAATTGCAGGGTACTCAATGGTTAATAGGACAAAGAGTTAGATGATCACCAGCTAACAGGGCTACCTAGGTACGTCTCAGGTATTGCAAGCACTTTCATTTTTTCGTCAGCAGTGCTTAGTAATGCTATTCTGCATATTTATTTTCTGCTATCACTAACACTTATCAGCAAAATTCAGATGCGTTTGCTGTTCCAGTGAGGTTTTCTTGCGCTTTAACCCGTGCCGCCACTACCAGGAGACCAGACAATGGGGGAAAAATGATTGTTTATCTTCCAACTTCGATATGCGTGTGAACTGATGTGTATCTGCTTGTGGCGCTGCAGAAGCAGGTACAGGTATTGTTTTTTCAAGCAAATTGATTCTCTTTGTTCATTTTATTGTGCATGGATGTATATGCATATATCCCCATGTATGCACATCTAAACTCTTCAAACACTCGCTGTACCACTCTCCCTTGTGTGATATTTCAGTTAATTTTTATTTAGAGATCAATGGATTGGCATGCGTTGGCCTGCATTTATTGCTGCCCGTGCTCTGATTTTTAGAGCTTCGAGTCTCTAGTATAAAGTTCTACACTCGCGGTCCATTCGAGGTAGGTAAGCTTCTCAACAGCTCGTCAGTCACAGCATCCTGGCACCGAGCTGTTTGGCTTTTGTATCTGCTTTTCCAATACTAGAAGCTCCACGATTTGCTTGTTTCTTCACTTGGTTGCCAAACCGCTGTTCCCACACCACACCATGCACCTACAGGGTGCTTTAGTTATTCTTGCGGCACTTGGGGTCAATGGATTGCCAACCCTAGCACCGAAAGCACTTCAGGAACGAGAAGGAGAACAACTCGTGCCCAATACAGGGGGCTGCGTCATCGAAAAACCATGGTGTACGCGGGCCGACGAGACCGGAAACGCCAGGCGTCAAGGAAACTCTCAGAGACCCCCAACGGTGAAACGTCAAAGAAATACCGAAGGTTTCTGGCCGCCGTCGTGGCCAAACCCTCCTAAGGAAGGACCTCCTGCAAGCGAAACTAATAACAAGATAAGAACTACGATACCCCTAGCGAGCCCGACAAGCGGATCCTCGCCACTACGACGAAGGTCTGCTCAAACAACTCCACTTGAGAGGCCGGATAGGCCTACACAGCCTGGGCAAACTTCAAGTTGCAACGGCTGGTACGATATTAAGGAAGGCGATACCTGTGATACAGTGACTGTGAAGTTCAATATCAAGATGGAACAATTTCTGGAGTGGAATGTAGGTAGCTAGCTATTCATGTGGATCAGATCATGGCAAATAAATGACTGGGAAGACCTTGCTAATTGTAACGCAATTGCACACAACCCACACAACAGCCTGCTGTCTCGAAGAATTGCGACAAAGAAATCGAGCTCAACTTTTCGTACTGCGTGAGAGTTCTCGGGTCGAAGAGAGCCAAGCGCACAGACCCGTTTACCTTGACTATTCCCACCACCGCAGCGCCCTCCATAACGCCACCATTTGGGAATGGTATTCAGGCACGAGAAAATAATGTCCATCCAGTGACAGTAGGACCCGATGGGGTCCTTCTCCCGCCGAATCGGGCACGACGAATGCCAACCGTGACTTTCGACGCCGATCAGCCCCATCCAGTGTCCTTAACACCTGATGGCATCTTAATCGACCCGGCTCCAGGGGTTGAGGTCCGTCCAAAAGTAAGACCCGATGGCGAACTTCCCAGGCCTATTCGGGCCCGAGCAACGCAAATTCCAGAACCGTTGCCTGAGCTCCCCCCACTTTTTGAACCAACCCAGACCCCAACGGATGAAGACAAAAGTGAGAAACGGAACGAGATACCAGAGATTACCAGAAGGCAGACAATCGAATGCGCCAGGCAGTGGACGGTGGGGCCGTAAGTGTTTCTCTCCCCCTTCATTCCTATTCTCCAAAAGGATCATAGTTACTTTCTCCGCCCAGACTCCTACCAGGCTGCCCGTAGTCTTAAGCTGACGTTATGCAACCCTTTCAAAGAAACGATACGTGCGAGTCCATATCCAGGGTCGCGGGAATTTCCGTCGCAGAGCTCGTAGCGCTAAATGTGGGTAGTCCTTTTTTTTCCCCCTAGTTACTACATACATATGAACATGACACACCCATCCCCTCTCCCCCTTTCCATCCACCCCTCCAACCAACAGCCAACAGCCAACAGCCAACAGCCAACATAATAAAGACATAAATAAAAATCAACTCCACTAACCCCAAAACCAACAACCCACCCACAGCCCATTACCCTCGCAAGCTGCGATAACATGCCCCTATCGCAACAAATCTGTCTGCGCGCAGGAAAACCTGAACCCGCTCGCCCCGTTTCCATGCGGGACCTCCCACTCCTAAGCCCCACGCCAACTATCAAGTAGACGTAGATAGACCGTTCGAGGAGGCCAAACGTGAATGACTTTTTGTCTCGTGTATGGTATGGTCTCTCTCTCCCTTTTCTTTCTTTCCCATCTTTGCTTCTTTTTCGCTTTTCCACAGTTCTCTTCTCTCTCCGTTCGGTTACTTTTTTTTATGCGCGCTTCTGGGGGGGGGGGGGGGGAACAGAGCGGAGAGTCAAGTCGAAGCAAGCGTTGCTTCGTTTACACTCGTTCATCCAATTATTGAGAGTGAGCAGGAGGACCAGGAATTTTGTTCTTTTGAATTTTATGTAAGGGGGTAGATACAACTTCAGACGGGCCATGACCAGACGGACATTTAGATCTGGTTTTTTAAAAACAAGAAAAAGAGGTATCCGAGTAATTCTTTTTCTACAATCAGCAGCGGAGCAGTAGTGCTGTCATTATATAAGAGTTAAACAGAAAGAAATACAGCACAGAGAGAATTAAAATAAATAACCACATCCTTTTACAATAGTGTTCTTTATTTAGAGAAGAAGCTAAAATGAAAAAATCTCAACTCAAAAAAAATATGAATTCATTTCCTCCCTCTTTAAGTTTCATTCAAACGTTCTCTATATTACTTAGTTATTACACATAAAATAAACAAGCAACTCGTGATATTTATTCAGCATGGCAAAAAAAAACAAAAAAAACAAAAAAAAAAAAAAAAAAAAAAAAAAGGAGAGAAAGAAAGAAAATGCGGAGGAAAGTTAGGAAAATAAATAGAGAAAAAGCGTACAAAATGAAGAAATAGAAAAAGGAAAAGGAAAGGAAATTATGCATTAGACATTGACGTCGTCGATGATGGCTCCGGAGAAGATTGCTGATTCTCCACGACTGTTCCCAGCTGTGGAGCAGGCGCCACTTTGACTGTTTCCGCCGTAGATGGCGAAGGTTGTGGTGGTGATTGCGACTCATCCTCCTCCACCTTCGGGAGAACGGTGACACCACTATCTTTTGGCGCTTCTGTAACGGGCCAGGGGGGTGTTTCCTCTGGGATCGTCGGTTCCGGGAACGAGCCGGGGAATACCATTGTAAGGGGCGGAGAGGGTTGAGGTGTGGGAGGAGCTGCTGCTCGAGTTGCTGCCGCCGCCGCCGTCACTGGCGGCTGTGAAGATTCCAGAATTTCCGCCGGGCGGGTGACCCGTGGCTCTGTGGGCGGCTCTGTCAATGTAGTCCCCTTGCTCTCTTTGCTTTCTCTGCTTTCCTTGGGAGGCAGGATGGATAGGTTATGCCTAGAAGACGTCTTTTCGCCGTCAGAGAGTGGTGGGCTTTTCGCGTACTCCCGTTCCCTCTCCACCTCACGCTCTTTCACCCCTTCCTTTACGCCTGCAACTTTGGCCTTGAATTTCCCGAAGAAGCCCTTTCTTTCCGACTCAACTGGTTCCTTGCTTTGATGGCCATAGTTGGATGGTTTCACTAAGTTGCTGCTTACACTAATACTCGAGTCTTGGGTTGTTAATGAGGGTGGGGGTTGTGTAGTGGTAGTGGTGGAATCTATCGTTCCGGTTGCGGAAGTTTCGGGGCTTATTTGGCGGGACTCATTGGAGGCGGTCTTCTGTGGCCAATTTGTGCTTCCTAATGAGCTACTGCTGAAGGCTGCATTTGAGTTGTATCCAATAGGAGGTGGCGGCGACATGCTCATGTCCGTCCGTTCACGTCGCTTGACCCCACGAGGGTGTCTCCAACTCCGCCTATGGTCCTTTTTCTTTTGTATGGTAGAATCATCTTGATGGTCGAAATCAGAATGGTCCGTCACAGATGAACGCGAGTGCATCGATGGGGTCCTCGACCTTCCGGGTTTCAGGGTGCTCTCCGGAGATGCATGCACTGCTTGCTTTAATTCCCCGGTTGGCTGGGGGATAGTTTCGGCGGCAGGTGTCGTAGCGGAATTTGTTAATTTGGGAGTCCACATGTGTGACTGATCCTCTGGAGCTTCCCGCTTATCCGCTACAGCTTGTGATACTAAAGTACTCAAGGAGGGCTCAGATCCAACCTGCAAAGAGTGACTAGAGCTCCTGGCACTTTCGCTCGCGCTTCCAGGAACTGGGCGCTTCTTCCTCAATCTGTTGGGCTGTCGCCCATCCTTTCTGTCGCCCTCCGGTGGGGTAGACTTGAATAATGAAGCTAGTTTCCTTTCTTTCGTAAACGTTCCCGCTAATGGTTGGGTACCTGGTTTGGAACCTAGCTCGAACGGCACGGCCTGTTCATCCGGGGAACCGAGAGGCGAGGGCATATTGCTTTGTACTAAACCCAGCCCGTGGTTTGTGTTCAATGGCGACGGAGACTCGGGAATCGTTTTGTCAGGAGCACCTTGTACTTTAAGGGAAGGAGTTTGACTAGGTGACCGTGATTGAGGTCGGGAGCGAGCAGATGGAGAGAGGTGACCGGAGCCAGGGCCTGATGATTCACGAGGGCGGGTAAAGCGTGTAGGAGATACCGCTGCCAGTTTTTTCGAAGGCACGGTGTTGCTACGATGTACGCCTAGCGACCCCCCACCGGCTGAGTTGGGTGTTGTAGGGCTTGCTGAATCAAAGTTGGAGGTCTTCGAATGTTTTGATGAAACGGACACATTTCGTCGGAGCGCATCGATTTTTCGTATACTATCAGCCTTTCCGCTTGCATTCGAGGTCGACCGTCTGAGATTTGATAGGGTACTATTAGTGGCATTTCCAGCCTGCATAGCCTTGACTGTTTGTGGATCAGCAGCAGTGCCCGTCATGCCAAACAAGAAATTATCCTGATTTTCAATGAGGAATATCAGCACATCCTGGCTCAATTTATATTCTTTCGGCGCCATGTCGTGGGCCGGATGGGACAGCAGTCCCGGTTGGAAAATAGCCGCCAAGTTCGCTGCAGTCATGCGGTTGACTTCAGATTTGGATGCAAATACTGTCAGGAGGTCGAGAATATAAAGTAATAGCTGCCGGTTTAGTGGAGGAAGTTCTTTAATCAGCTGTTGATACGTAACCACTGCTTTGGCATGATCGAACGGTTCCTCCTCATTGGCAGGGGCGGCATCCTTCTCTTCCACAGCCTGAGCTTGATATTTGCGTAGCGGGTCTCGGAACCGTTCGTAAAAGTCTAAGGGTACGATTGGCTCTGGAAGCTGATTTAGGTATCGACGAAGGATATTGGCGGCATCGTGCACGGTATATCCGGTCCAGTCGAGACCCTTACCAAAGCGATCGGGAGAATCAAAGGCTTCTTGTAGATCCTTAATGCGTTTAGCAGATCCACTTAACCGGAAAATCCCTTCGACGTCCGTAGCTAGAGAGGGGAAAATCGATTAGACTCGACGACAAAAATTGTAAGAAATACGGTAGCGCAGACCTTTTTCTTTAAGAAACACGCCACATTTCGCGACGACTATAGGAACATATCCATATATAAAACTGGATCCATCTTCACCAGCGAGAGAAATTGCGACATTTGCATATTTTATGCTAACATTGAGCGGTACGCCAAAAATACCGGTTTGTTGGCCTACACGACGGACAGACACCCATTAGTAATTGGATACAGGGATAGAATTAGACAGGCGTCTCTTCGGGTGCACGAGCCTAATTCCCGAGCCGTAGGGTCTTTTGCGCTCATATCGCTAGAGCGGGTGATGGTCCATGATCTTCGAGGAGGAAATATGGGCATGAAGCTGAAGAAGAAAAAAAAAACAGGGGTTTACCTGGTTCCCCATCTTTCTTTGTATTTCGCACGAATTGCTTCCACCACGAGGTTAGATCTCTTTTTGATGGCGGGGATATCGTGCCGTGTGGAACTGAATTTTGTTGTTGATGTGCTGTTGACCGAGGAAGGTCGCGGGCAGGCACCCCAGGCGCTGGGTGTGAATCGCCGGTGGCCATTGCGATATGGTACCACGGAGTGGTTTTTTCGCCGGCAATGTGGATGAAATCAGAGGATTGTAGATAGGCTAGTAATTATTTGGACGGTAGGGGAGGAGGGAAGGTCGCAAAAAATGGTTTGAGCGTTTGGTCAGGGGCCAAAATGTCGTGGTTATATACTGATCCAAAACAGCAACAGAGCTACGCGAGATAAATCGCATGAGCCACTAAAGCTAAGGAAGAGAGGATGTAGCGGCAAAGATGCAGATGGGAACGAGGTAGATGAGGAGAAGGTAGCGAGCGGCTCTGGAGGATAACGAAGGGCGGTAATCTGGTGCACGAGGCTGAATGGAGGGGTCGGGTGTCTGGCGGGCCGGTGGTGGACAAGTAAATGATGATGGCTGGAAATCGCGGAAAGCCCTAAAGCATTTATTTAGGTTGGGGAGTGGGAAGAGAGGCCGTTTGCATCTAAGAGGTCCGGTCGCCGTTAAGGGTGGATGGCGTACGTGTGGGTCATTGTAATTAAGTGTGTGGTGTGGTGTGTATCTCGAGAAGGATGCGCTGGGTTAAAGTCCTTAGGCGGCTCGAATTAGGCGGTGGAGTAAACCCGAAGAACCAACCATTAACTCAACGAAAGCAAGACTCGTGGAGGAGCACAGGATAAGAATAGCGCAGCAGACGGGCAGGATATGACAAGTCAGGTCAATGAGTCGACGAGGCCATGCCGCTCGCGAGAGACGAGAGAAGGCGGAGAGCAGCAGTGAGACGGCAGCGGGAGTTGAAGTTGGGTGGTTTGAAGATCGAAGGGGGGGCGGCGGCGACGACGGGAAAGCCAGAGCGCATGCTGCTGACTAACTACGCAATGTTCTGCTGACACAGCACAGAAAGCGCTAGGTTGGGTGTACACTTGGACATGGCGCCAAAGAAGTTGATCATAGCTCAGTGACATCAGTGTAGTGTGGTTTGTGGTTTGTGGTTCCAACCTCGAGTTAGTTGCACAGTCACGAATATAATAATAATAATAAATGATTTGATCTGGGGATTTCGGAGTTACGAGTTACGAGTTACGAGGTGCGAGGTGCGAGGTGCGAGTTGCGAGTTTACAAGTTGGTTGGATGAACGCCAGTCGGTCCCACACTGCCCCCCTCTGTTTCTTGTTGACTTGTCCATACTTGTAGTTACTCTTGTAACTACTAATGGGAGATGAAAGGAAAAAGGAAAAAAGAAAGTACGGTAATTCAAAACCTTAGCGATGGGTCTGGCCTCTGTGTCTTGTACTGCATGGACTGCAGATGCTCTGAAACATGTGCTGTCTCAGCCTCACGTGACCCAACGGCGCCTCTCCTGTCTCTACTATGTATATACAACCATGTGTCTATCTATCAGTCGATCTGCCAACCTGCCAACCTGTCAAACTGTCAAACTGTCAATCGATCAACCGACCCATTTGGTAGCCCAACATTCGATCGTTATTGTGGTGCAAGTGCCTTGGTTATTGACAGAAATAGCATCAGCGGTCATAATCCCAAGCTATTAAAGCCTCCACAGCCATCGCCCGCGCTCCTCGTCAAAAAATCTTCTTCTTCTCACGAGATAAAAAAGAAGGAAACAAATAAAACAGGTTTCATGATGGTGCCTTGCATACGTCTCACCTTACGAAACCAGAATCACCAGCCACAGTTTCTATTATTAATATCATCATATCGAGGGGGATTTATACTCCGTACAGACACACACTCTGGATATAGACACCACCGCTAAAATCAATTACTATGTAAAAAACAGGAAATGGGAAATGTTATGCATACAGGAATCACTGTCTGTCTGCCTGCTTCTCATATCCACTGAATTTCTATGAGAATAGAGATTGCCAGCTGCCGGTGTGCTTACTGCTCCAGGGGGGGGGCGAAAAGGCGGGGGGGACCCCCTGGATACAGCTGATATGACGATTCTTATGAGCTGAGTTTAAGAGATATTAATAGACTAATTTTTAAAGAAATCTCTCCTTCAACTGATAATGAAAGCTTCTCTATCTCAACTGTATTTATTGTCTTGTGATACACAGCAGACCAAAAACAGGCAGTTCTGAAGAATTGATGAGAGGATGAGCACAACGAGTGCATCCTTGAGTGGATGAGAATTATTTGAGAGGAATAGAGATAATACGGAGTAGATAAGTTAAGTTACATCATTAATTAATGGAAAATCAATTACCAAGCTATTCCTTATATAAACTAGTGGTGGTCTCTATATCCAAAGTGTGGTGTCTGTATAAATCCCTATATCATGCCTATGACGCCCTGTGGTTGCGACTGCTGCTGCTGCTGCTGATGCTGACGCTGATGCTGCCGATGAATTTGCCTCTGGCTGTCGTGTGCAGAGTGGCGAAGGAAGCATCTACCTATCACTCTGGACTTCCAACACAGTACGCCGCGTACTAACGGTTACGCTTGTTGAGGCCCGGATACTGTCTCGAGCCAACAAGGGCCTCTAATAATAATAAACAACGAGCATCCCTCGTCATACATATCTCGATCAGCATGGTCGCACATCCGTCATCAGCCTTGCGCGTGCTGTGGAGAGGCAAAATGAGAATGGAATGCCATGCTGGTTGGCAGCCGTTAGTTCCCCGGATATTGACCAGGATCAGCCACTCTGAAAATAGAAAGGTGCCTATCATCCAAAAGACAAAAGCCGTTTACTTGACAAGGAGGGATATATTTGTGATGAAGCACAAGTTGATGCTCACATGCTAGGTCAACAAAAAATCATATCTATCCCATCCAGAGCATTGAAGCCTGGGTTGTTTCTGGAATATTTTCTGATCTGCAACGCACAACTTCCAGGGTTGCGTTTGAACATGCATTTCAAAGGCATGTAGGATATTGCGAAGACACCGATGTCATCGCTGTAAACTGTCTCTGCTTGCTTTTTTGGTTATGATAATTGTTGTTTCGCTGTTCTTCAGAGCGCTACAACGGGGCCAATGACAGCAGTAGAAGATTCCCCACATATCCGTTATGATTGCAGGAATTGAAATAGTGAAGTTAGCCGTTCGCGTTCACCGATCGTTAGATGAATTCTCTCGTGGCGTGAACAGTACTGTAGGCTACTGGGGCAAAAGAGCTCAGTCACCACCAGCGCTGCTGGTAGAAGGGCCGATCAACCCCCGGGACCCCCAACAAGTACAGCGTTAGAGATCTCATGCCCGGCCGATGTCATGTGACATGCAGTCTTTCGGAAAAATAATATCCCACCTCCAGCTCGCAGGCTTTGGCGCCAGCGGGAGAAACAGCTCAACTTTCCATATCTCAACACCAAAAAACGATCACCACGTATCTTCTCCTTGCCATTGTTAATTAACCCGGACCTGTTGCCTTGCGGAGTGTAAGGGAGAACCTCCAAGTGTTCCAATTGCATCATGGACGCGTACGTGACCTCTCCTATCCGCCTTGCAAACTCTCGCAAAATGAAATATCTTCCCCCTTCCCCCATTCTATACGCCCTTGCGATGTAACAAAAAGAACACAACTAGTCGCTTACATTAACCCATATAAAAATCCATTCAGTCTAAACGCCAACGAACAGCGCGAGCTGGCAAGCCGCATGGAAAAGAAGCAGATGAAAGAATTCATGACGGTACAAAGGCTCCCCCATCCCCACTCAATCCTTTCCATTCCAATCCCATCCAGTTCAACCCCATCCGTATCAACAAATATATATATGCACATACACGCCCAAAACAAACAAAGAAACAAACCAAAAATGAAAATAAAACAACTATTAACCCTCTACAACACAATATAGGTCTACTCCAACATTGTCCAACGCTGCTTCGAAGACTGTGTCAGCGACTTCACGACCAAATCGCTCATCAGCCGCGAACAGGGCTGCGTCAACCGCTGCTTCGACAAGTTCATGAAGGGCTCTGAGCGCATCAATCAGCGCTTCCAGGAGCAGAATGCGCAGATGATGCAGTCGGGGCAGATGGGGGGGAAATAGGACTATAAATGATTTTTGATTCTATATATAATATCCCGAGGAGGGAGGGAGTGAGGAAGTTTACATGCGTCTATGAAAATGGGATGGTATGTGATGACCGGGCCTACTAGCTGGCTAGCTAGCTAGATGGATGTCCAGAAGACATAGGTTTTTGGACTACATGTACGATTTTGTGGATGCGCCCGTTTTATGGTTATCCTGCAGATTTCTCCTGGGGAACTATTGAAGAAGGGGCGGTTTCTTTTTCTTTTTCATTTCTGTGTGTGTGTGTTTGCAAATTGCTCCATCTATACACACCAAGAGGGGGCTGTGATGATCCTTACTGAATTGTGTTTGTGGGGATGGCATTTGGGGTGCTTGTTATGGGATGAGGGTCGAGCATCATCTATCCAGCTGATTAGATTTCAGCACAGGGAGACGGGGTTTATTTCATTTGGTGTCTCATCTGTTGTTCATTTTGTCGTGTTTTTGCTGCACCTGTACACTATTATTTCATTACGAATTTACCTGATGAGTCAGGGTGGGATAGAGGATCTATCGTGGCTTTTGAATATGGATGTTTTCTGTCTTAAAACGGGATCTTTACCCTCTACTCGATTATACTCCTCTCTTGATCCTCGTTAAATTCTCACATTTATTTAGCCTCAATACTGCCATGATGTTGAAGGGGAACAGGGCGTTCTCGAGGGGTCAGCCCTCAGCGATGAAAAGTCCCAATCACATTTTGGATGTAATCTACCTATATAATGGAAACGCTCGTGAAGATGTTACATGTATATTGCAAATATAGAAAATGTGCTCGCACTGGACGAAGTAGAGTAGAAGTAGTATGAGGAGATGCGCAACCGGCGCTGGTGGATCCTCGGCAACGTTGCCTCTCAGCTAAATAGCTATTTACGGGATTACCAGAACCATTCCTTTAGGATCTCCCGCCGAACATATAAACAACGATTCCCCGAATGTATAGGTTATTTAGCTGTCAGTCCCAACAGCTTTCTGCTCCATTGGGTAGGATTGCCTGGCCACAGCACAATCGCAAAACTATTACTACTCAGCTAGGTCGGCCAGCGCTCAGAGCAGCCAGCACCATGCCGCCGCAAACAATAATTGCAGAAGCAGCTCGAAATGCTCGGGCCGCCACACATGATTTCCGAAGTAAGCCTCCATAGAGAAAAGATACAAACATTGTATATACGATATGAAAAGCTGTGTCTTAACATGACCAAATAGGCGACACTGCCACTCTGCCAACCAGCAGCATGCTGTCATCAACCATTACCGAAGCCCCGCGCTACGGGGACGACGTCTTCTCCCAGGACGAGCCCACGAGCGCCCTAGAGACTTACGTCGGGGAATTGACGGGACTGGGAAATGCCCTCTTCGTCTCATCGGGCACGATGGGCAACCAATTGGCTCTCCGCGCGCTGTTACATCAACCACCTCACTCTGTCGTCTGCGGCCGGCAGAGTCACGTCTTCGTGCACGAATGCGGCATGGCCTCTATGTTTTCACAAGCGCATCTCATCCCCGTGCTAAGCAGTCCGCACATGAGTGATAGCAATACCAATAACGAGCAGCAAAAGTCATACATGACTCTAGAATCTATCATCCCCAACATTGTCCCCGCCGACGGCGAGATCCACGGCTCCCCAACGCGCATCATCGCGCTGGAAAACACACACAACGGGCAAATCACCCCCGTCTCAGAAGTCAAGCGCATAGGGGAATACGCCCGCCAGTGCGGGCTAAAAGTACACATGGACGGCGCCCGGCTCTGGAACGCATGCTATCCACCCTCCAGCGCCGGAATGGCGCCCGCACAGGCGGCGGAAACCGCCAAATCATTACTCCGCGAATACTGCTCGCACGTGGACACGGTCAGTTTGTGTTTCTCTAAATCCCTAGGTGCGCCTGCGGGCTCCATCCTGGCCGCCAGGTCGCCAGAGGTGATTGCCCGCGCCCGTCATCTGCGCAAAGCACTGGGCGGCGGGATGCGGCAGACCGGGATCCTTACGGCGCCTGCGCGCGTGGCGATTGACGAGGTGTTTCTGGCCGGTGAGCCGTTGTTGCGAGCCAATGCGGTAGCGAGGGAATTGGAGGAGGAGTGGGTGGCGCTGGGAGGCGCTGTGATGACTGGCCTTGCCCAGGAGACGAATATGGTTTGGTTGGATTTGGGAAGGGCGGGGGTTGCGGGGGAGGAGCTTGAGAAGATTGCGGAGGAAGAAGGGGTGCGCGTCTACGCGCCGAGGATTGTAACGCATTATCGTGAGTGATAGGTTTCCTTTCTTTCTTTCTTCTTTCCTTCAATTTTCTCGTCCGCCGGCTCAAATGATCCCAGCCATATACTAAATGTTACTTACTACAGAAATAAGCGCGGATGGCCTGGCTGCTATGAAACGGGTCCTTAAGCGGACCATGGAATTGAGCAAGAAGAAGAAGAGTGAGGGTACGGAGCTGCCCATGACGGAGCATCAGGTGTACTCTTACAAAACCAAGAAAAGCTGAATGAATTAATTGATGGTCTCCATTTGATTTTACATGATCCAATGATGAAATGTTTATTTATTAACTACAAGCATCAAACGCTCGCTTACGCTCGCTTTGCTGCTTGCGCAGCCCCTTACCACCCCTGCCCCTCTACCACCACCACAGCCCCTCCCGGCCGGCAGCCCCTTTTACCACTTCCACCCCCTATCCCTCCCCCCCCCCCCCCCCCTTTACCACCCCCTATCACCCCTATCACCATCATCAGATTAATCAGAGCTGTACAGGCCGCAGAGCCGGCTGTTCAATCCCATGAATTCAAAGAGATGCACATGACATCACATGAGGTCACATTTAGACTGGCCGGCGGGACTATGAATTTCACATTTGATCTCATTTGATCTGGTTGTATACATTTTGTATGGCAATTTGGCCCAGGGTTGTGGTGTGATAGAGGTGAACAGGGGATAATCCCACACAGGAGTTTTGAACAACATCTGGTTCACATTTGGCTGGATAACTCCACCACCACATGGGGTATGCGGTCGGCGATGGGGTCAAAATGCTTGTATGATTGAGGGCTTTTCGATGGATCTATCAGCGGGTTCTTATTCGAAAAATTGAGCGAGTTCGTGGTGGAGCGGTTGAGTTCTAGTATAAGATTATGTAAGTTCTGTAAGTGATCTAGTAATATCTGAGAAGTTTCATATAAATCTGTTGGGGGTCCCGCGGTTGGTCGGCCCTTCTACCAGCAGTGCGCTGGTGGTGATCGAGCTCTTTTGCCCCAGTAGCCTACAGGTTATGAGACTGTTAAGCGTGAGCCCCGCTGTGGTCAACATGCATGGGTTCAATTCCAGAATGGACTTAAAAATTCCTAACAAATATCCTGGACATTTTAACAGTGTCAAGAGACATCCCAGGAGTGTGCCCTAGAAGTCCTGTGAGCCCTAGGACTGACTGAGTTCATTATTAAAAAGAAGCCATTGTGAGAAGGTCACTGAAGAGAGCCACTGAGAGAAAGTACTGTACTCTGTGATAGCTGGTCTGAGAGAGGGTGTTGAGAGTCTCATGATTGGTCAGCTCTTCTACCAGCAGTGCGCTGGTGGTGATTGAGCTCTTTTGCCTCAGTAGTCTACAAAATCATTAATAGAAGTTAGTAAATTCAATAAAGCTTTATACATCTTTCACAGTGTATGAAGTCTTTCATTCAAGAATAGCAGAGATCTTCTCAGAATTTATTCAGATTTTCTTATCAGCTTCTACAATAAAATCTAGATATTTTATACTTTTAACTTTAAAATTATACTTGTTTATATCTATTAGTAGTTCTGCTTCTTATAGTTATTATAATACTCTTTACACATGTTCTTAATATTCTTTTCTGAACTCATCAGTAAAGATGAGAATGTTATCAAGATAGATAAATATAAACTTATTAAGAAAATCTCAAAGTGCTCAGTTGATATACTTCTGAAATGTACTAAGAGTATTAATTAATTTAAAAGATGTAACTACTCATTCAAAGAGATTATATTATGTTCAGAATACTGTAAGTTACTCATCTTCTTCAGTGATACAGATCTTATAAAAAGCAGTGAGAATATCTAGTTTTATAAATTATTAAGCTTATCTGATATGTGCTAGAGTTTTATTAATAAGAGATAAAGAATAGTAATCTTTCTTTATTAATCTATTCAGTTCTTAATAGTTTACACAGAATCAGAGTTCTCTGTCTGATTTCTTTATAAAGAGAATAGAAGCTGCAGTAGAAGAGTTACTAATATATATAAATTCTTTATTTAACAGATTATTAAGTGTCTTTCAAAGAAGAAGAAGTTTATCTCAGAATATATTATAAAGAGAGTCTCACAGTAATTCAGAATTTTTATTATTTTTCTTTTTTAACTTGATACTGTAATTTACTTCTGAATCTTATAGAGAGAGTAGATTAATAATATTATCTTATTAAAAGATATCTAGATATTCATAATATTATTAAAAGAGTTTTGTATAAGAATTTATTATTATAATATAGAATAACTTCTCTAGAGCTTTTTTAATATTAATTAGACTGATGAAGTAGATTACTATACAATTCTACTATCAGTAATTTTTTCAGTGACTTTATTAGAAGTTCTTTCAGAGTATTTCACAAGTATTGACAGAGATCTGTGTTAGATTTATAATCTTGTAAATATTATTCTCATAAATCTGATCATTATTGAGAAATATTAAACTTCTGTTTTAAGCATCTAATAGAATGCCTTGTTCAGATAATTAAACAAGTTCTAGTATAAGATTATAATCAAGATTATTAACTTCATATGTATAAGTATTCTTACATTGTGAAAGAGGCCTACACCGAATAGATCAGTATAATAAATAGAACTTATATAATAAAGAGAAAAACATTAAGAAAGAAAAAGAAAGAGAAAGCATGAGAATCAGTAATTGAAGTGAATATTTATACATGTTCATAGCAGCTGAGAATTGGCAATTGAGAATGACTGAGAATCAGAGCATATACATTTATACGCGTTTGTAGCAGCTGAGAATCAGTGATTAAAAATAGCTGAGAATCAGAGCATATGCATTCAAGAATAAAGTGATAGAAATCTGTAAAGTGTAATAGAATAGTCTATATAATTGATCAGATGTGCTAATTATATTAGCTCTCTTCTTTCAGAAGCAGTTCTCATCAGTCAAGAATCACTGTTTTAGATAATATGAAACTTAAAGTTCAGATCAGTTGATCATAGCTAATCTATTTTACAAGATATTATCAGTCACAGTCACAGAGTCTCTCATTGAGAATATCTTCAATCTCTCACTCAAGCTCATTATTGTCACACTCCCGGCCGCGCCAAGGCCCCGTTGCGGTTCCACACGGCCCATCGCTTCCATGCGGATGATTCCATCCATCCCGCATCCCGTCCGAACCGGTTTCCAACCGCCCTATGACATCATTCGGATATATCATAGGAAGATCCGATTGATGGGTATGAGAACCCCGCTTCTATACAAGGTCAGCAGATTACTCTTCCTTGGCAATGAGGCGCTGCTGAGGTATTGCTCCGGCTATTCTCACTCATGGAATGGGAGAAGGGTATCCGCCCATTGTCTATATAGAATAGCTAGATGCTGGCTCCTCATCAAAGAAGTCAGTGATTCATTTTCCTTCTACAGGAATATATACAAGAGTTACTGCATGCCTCATACAATCTTCTTAGTATACTAAGTACTATATCTGTGATATCCTCGCAATAACCTTGTAGTCTACAAGCTCACTATTCAAGCAAGATAGTCAAGCTCACTCATACAGCTTTTTAAACAACTACTTCTATATAATGCTGCTGACTAGTCACTGCTTCAGTTCTGTCACATTACAATTCAAATCACTTGATCTGATTATACATTTGAATCAGTTGAGCTCTAACAGACTGATATGACCTCACACATTCATACTGAGACTGATCTGACCTCACTCTCTGAAGAAAACACTACATCATTCTCTAGAGTGTGTACATCTCTATCTTGACAGGAATCTGAGATTTCTGAACTCACTGCACATTTTAGCATGGGCTCTTCAACTGTCCTGTCACTGCCGCAGCCCCTACACACCTACATCTATCATGAAGATAGAGAGATTAAGATTGAAGATTCTCTGAGATATAAGAGAAACATCTTGTCTGAATTCCACAGCTTTATCTATACTCTTGAACAGAAATTCCACCTTAATCTGAGTCAGTATAATACTCATAAGATATAAGTAATATATGCTGTCAACCTTCTTGAAGGCATCTCTGTGACTACTTGAGTCATCAAGAAGAGAGAGCTTGAGTGTATCAATACTGTCATGACTTGAGAAGAATTCAAGAACTTTCTACTTGATTAAATTGAAGATCACTGCAATCACAGCTTCATAGCAGCACAGCAGTTCAACTTATTACATCAATAAGATAATAAGAATTCTTTCAATTTCAACATAAGATTTGAAGAATATTGAGAGGAATTGACTGATGATTTGAATCAATTAAAAACACAGCTTTATCTTATAAAGCTGACTCACAAGGTGTGAACAATAATATTACAATATCAGAGTTCATCAATCAATCATACTGAGCTTGTCAATCTGGCTTCTCAGATCTATTTGAATAATCAATTCTCTGAGAAAAAGACTAATAAGACCTCTTCTAAGCAATTAATGACAGGATCTAAACAGTGTCATAACAGCTTCAGTGCAGAGAAAGTAAAGAAGAATTTCAAGTATTCTGATTCTTCACTCACTGCAAAGAAATGCTAAAAAAGATTTAATAAAGATCTCTGTTTCAACTGCAGAGCTGGTAATCACTATGTCAGTGATTATAAGAAGCTGAAGAAGAGAAGAAACTGAGAAGACATCTTCTCAAAGTTAACTTCTCTTCTGACAAACATATTCATGAAAGATAAAGAAGAGAAAGAAAAGAATTGACAATTCTCACATCTCTGAGTTTATGTTATGATCACAATATATACTCTGAATGAGAAGATATCAGTGAGATGCCTACTCAACTCTGAGATGAATACTAACTTCATATTCTATTTCTTTTCTTTGATGAAGAGTTGAAAGAAGATAGATCTGTCAGACCATGTGAAATTTACTGATAAAACAAAATGTCACTGTTTTGACATAATTCAGGCAAAGTGTGTGATCACAGACTCAGAAGAAATCTTTAAGAAGAGCAGTCTGCTTCTTCATGCAGTTAATATCATAGATGAGAATGTCATTCTAGGTCTTCTGTAGTTGAGAGAAAATAATTCTCTCATTGACTGAGTCACTCAGGCATGACAGTACTGTCTCACTGATGAAGAGACAGTGATAGAGAAATCTGAAGAGTTTTATCAGAGAAATCTTGAAGAAAGAATTGAGTTGATATACTGTATAGTAGGTGATTGAGACTTGAGAACAGGTGAAGAAGTCATCACTCTCACTGCAAGATTAGCAGCAGTATCTGTCATTGAAGACAGATATACATGATGTCTCTTTACAGATTTTAAAAATGTCTTTTCAGAAAAGAAAGCAGCAAAGTTTCCTGATATCAAGATATAACACAAGATTCATCTTGAAAATGATGCAACAGCACTGTACAGGTCTCTTTACAACTTATCTGTAAAGAAGTTGAATGTTCTGCATAAATATCTTGAAGAAGTGCAATCAAAGAACTGAATATATTTATCAAAGAGTTCAGCAGAGATGTCTATACTCTTTGTGCTTAAGAAGAATAATAGACTATATCTATGCATAGACTACAGAGGCCTCAATAAGATGACAGTTAAGAATTGCTATTCACTACTGTTGATTAATGAGATGATCAATTGATTATCTGAAGCAAAGATGTTCTCAAAGATTGATATACAGAATGCCTATCATAGAATCAGAGTTAACAAAGATAATATTTAAAAAACAGTCTTTCATACTAAGTACAGCAATTTTGAATATCTTGTTTTATCTTTTGATCTCTGTAACACTTCAGTCATCTTTCAGACCTATATAAATGAGATGCTGTGAGGCCTTGTCAATGTCTCCTGCATAGTATATCTGAATGACATTCTAATCTTCTCAAAAACAGAGAAAGAACATGATACCCATGTTTGAGAAGTGTTAAGTCACTTGAGACAGCATCAACTCTATGCAAACACTGAAAAATGCTCATTCTACATGCAGAAGATTGATTTCTTAGGTTATATTATTGAGATGAATGACATTTCAATGAACAGAAGCCAGATCTCTATCATTGAGAACTGGCCAGTGCTGTGAATGTACCGCGAGGTGCAGGTGTTTCTAGAATTTGTGAATTTCTACAGATGATTCATCTATGCATATTCACAGATTACTGCCCCTCTTACAGATCTGTTAAAGAGAAGTGTGAAAGACAGGAAAACAGGATCATTTATTCTCACTCAAGGCACTGTGCAGGCATTTGCAGAATTGAAACAAGCTTTCACAGATGTCACAATACTGAATCACTTTAATCTCAACTTATTCAGTCAGTGTGAGACTGACACATTCAGAAATGAAGTCTGTGAAATCTTTTCACAGTTGACACTGAAGATCTTTCAATATTGAAAGAATCAGAGAATAATCACTTCTGAGAAAACAGACAATGAATTGCCTGTGAGAGAAGACTTTTTCACAGAGTCTATAAGACACTGTGAATGAAGATCAGTGACCTTCTTCTTCAAAAAGTTATTGCTCACACAGAGAAGGTATGATATTCATGATCAGAAGATGTTAGCAATTGTTGAATTCTTTAAGATCTGATGATATTATCTTCAGAGTAGTAAGTATTCAGTGTAAGTTCTCACTGATCATGCAAATCTGCATTACTTCTTGACAACAAAGAGCTTGATAGAATGTTAAGCCAGGTGAGTGAAGCTGCTTTCAGAGTATGATTTCTATATCTGATACTGTTCAGGTCGGCTTAACCCCGCTGATGCACTGTCTAGACAGTCTGATTATAATATTGTTGATGTGAAGAAGAATTCTATAAAAGAACCTCTGTCATCACTGCAGAAGAAGCTGGCTGCAGAGAGTTGAGATTCTCTAAAGCTCAGAAACAGTGCTGAAGAGGCAGCTGCATGACCCAGTATAGAAGGTGAAAGAGAACCCGGGTTCTCACAGAGAACTGACACTGAAGATCATGAGCTTCTCATATCATGTCTTACAATCATTGAATTGACAAAGGACAAAATGATCTACAATCTTTCAACTCAACTACTTTTGAAATTCATTGAAAAGTTACAGAAGAGAGATATCTCTACTGCAGCTTGAATTCAAAAGTTGAAGAAGAAAGAATTCAGTTTAAACTTGGAAGAGGCAGGCCCTGAGCAGGGCAGTGCTGTTAAGGAATCAAGTCACTGATAACTAGAAGAATGTGAACTTCTACTGCTGAATAATTCAGTCTTTATTCCTCATAGCAGAGTGATGTGTCAGAAGTTATTGAGGATTTATCATGATGATCCCCATGCAGGGCACTTCAGGTTAGAGAAGACTGAGAAGCTTCTAAAATGTAAATACACTTGAGACAAGCTTCAGACAGATGTCAAAGAGTATATTGAAACTTGCAATGTCTGTCAAAGAATAAAGGTCCCATGGCATAAGCAATACAGTGAGTTGACATCACTGCCTGTTTCAAAGAGCTCATGACAGAATCTATTGATGAATTTCATAGTTGATCTGCTGAAGTTAACAAGAGTCAAAGAATATAACTCAATTTTAATCATTGTTGACTGCTTCACAAAGATGATCAGATATATCTCTACTCATAAAAAGATTAAAGCCTCTGAATTGACTGACCTGTTTTTAGATATCATTATTCATGATCACAGTGCTCTGAAATTGTTGATAACAGATCAAGAATTCCTCTTCATCAGCAAATACTGATCAGCTTTTTGCTATCATCTTACAATAAGGCATCTCCTCAGTACTGCATTTCACCCACAGACTGATGGCCAGACTGAACACTAGAATCAGACACTAGAACAGCATCTTCAAGCATTCTGTTCATATTATCAGAATGATTGGCTCAAACATCTTCTGATTGCTGAATTTGTATATAACAATGCAAAGAATGCAACCTTAAAGGTATCTTCTTTCTATGCTTGTTATGAATATAATCCTTCATTACTCAGTGATGTCACAGACAACATTTCAAAGAGAAGAATAGACAGTCAGAATGTCAGACAGATACAGAGAATGAAGTATCTCTCAGTGTTAGAAGTAAAAGTGAGATTGGAACTTTTGAATAAAATTCATGAGAAGGTGGTGAAAAGCATCTGCTGCATTCAGAAGTGATAGATGAAATACTATAATTGAAAACATCTTTCAATGAAGTTCTTGATAGAGGATTAAGTGCTACTTTCAGCAAAGAATATCAAGACAATGAGACTGTGTAAGAAGCTCAGTGAGTAATGACTAGGATCTTTTCTGATAACAAGAGTAATGAATAAGCAGACATATGAGTTGAAATTACTCACAGAATTGAAATCAATTCATTCTGTTTTTCACATTTTCTATTTGAAGCTCTATAAGCAATGCCCTGAGATGGAGCTGTCTCAGCCAGATGATATTGAGATTGAGGGTGATACTGAATATCTTGTGAAGAAAATATTGAACAAGTGAATACATTACAGCAAGCTTCAATATCTTGTTAAATGAGAAGATTATTCATTGTCAGAGAATTCATGGGAACTGCTTGAGTATTTGAAAAATACTGAGAAAGAGATTGCAACCTATGAGATGACTAGTAGAGACTGCTCTGTTACATGTCAGAGACATTGAGCAAGAAATATCACTTGAGACTTCTCATTTTTTTCAAAGGGTTTTTTAGAGATGATCTTGTGATGATGAGCTGACACCTTGTAGACTCTGTAACACTCTTCTTCTATTTTCTCTCAAAGAATTTTTAGAAGTTTAATGAGACTACACAAGTGTAATGTTTCTGAAGCAGTTAAAAGAAAAGGAATATTTGAAATTAATAAAAAGATTAATATTATCAATCTGCAGACTGCTGCTATTCTAATGAGGCTGCAGCCTGCTGAAAAAGTAAAAAGAGGAACCAGAGTCTACTCATCAACAATCACACTCTCATCAAACTCATTCTTCACTGTTGAAGTCTCTGATATTGACATCTTTATCTGCTGAGAAGTTAGCACTGCAGCATCACAGAGAAGCATGCTGCAGAAGAGCATGAGAAATACATGAAATGTCAACTTACTAACTTACAAAGCATCTCAGTTATCTGCTTCAATTGAAGTGAGATTCTCTCTAATCAGTGATTGATCTCTGCAGTGCTTTCAACAGCAGTGCTGACTGATTTCTTCTTAAGACCAGTCATTCTGAGATGTTTTTCCATCTCAGAGATTCACACTTTCATCTTCTTTTACAGATGAACAAGAGAGATCTTCTCAGCCTTGACAGAATCTGTCAATACTTAAAGCTCTGAGACTCTTGCTCTGTACTACTTGAGCATCTGAGCTTCTTGTCAGAGCTGACATGACATCTTCTTATAAGATAGGTAATACTTACAGAGAGACAGAAGTTGTTGTTACAGATGCAATGAAAACAATGAGAGTGAGAGAAGAAGTGAGTGTATAAAATCCCTCTCTTCTTCAGCTGCTTGATGCAGTGCAGATAAGTAGTGATACCAGTCAGAGACTGCACTGAAGCCTTCTCACAGAGAGAAGATGAAGAAACTGTGAAACTCTGCAGACTCAACTCAGCAGTATTCTGAGCAGGGCTTGAGCATGCTGTGAGAGAGAAACTACAGATTGAGCTTCTCAGAGTCACTGTCTCTGAAATCAAGCTCTTCTCAGATTTCTCTCTGAATGATCACACAAGGTCATACATCACTGTATTGACTGGAGAGGGGGGCGGCGTCACAATGGCAGTGAAGAGGGCAAGAGACAGACCAGACATAGATGAACTGATCAGCAGAAGAAACAACACCTCACTGCAAGGCACAGTGACTACCGCCGCGGCCACAAAAGAAGTAGAAGGAGAAGGAGGTGTGACAATGAAAGCAGTGCTCTCACAGCTCATTGACACCACTGCCTCTGCCTTCAACCTGGCTTTCTTGACAGTCACAGAGGCCGCTGCTGCACCACAAAGACATTTGTTACCCACTAGAAAATGTCAGAATAAGCCCTCTACTGTTCTTCAAGGATGATACTCCCATGCACTCACTATTGCAGATGAGAGAGAAGGGAGAAAAATGTGTCACAGAGAGAGAGATCTTTTGAAAAAATCCTGTCACTACTGTTAGCTTTGCCTCTAAAACACATCACTTTTGCAGGGAATTTCATATATAGAACAGAATATGTTGAAAGATCTGCAAGTCACTTGTTAACTACATTTTTCCACATTTCAAATTAATATATAAGAAACCCACTTACCACACATTTGATTTGAATGAAGATGAGAAAAGAAAGACCTACACAGTCAGCAGAAAAACTCATCTTTATGTCATACACAGCACACACACTGTCAATCAGTTGGCAACTATTGCTATATAACAAAGATAATTTCTAATCTGATAATCTTGAGAGCATAGAGACTATACTCTTAAAGAGAAGAGCATTGTCATGCTTCTAGTCATGCCAAGACTCTGTTGCAGTTTCACATGACTCATCACTTTCATGCAGATGATTTTATTCATTCTGCATTCTGTCTGAACTGGTTTTCAACTGCTCTATGACATCATTCAGATATATCATAGAAAGATCTGATTGATGAGTATGAGAACCTCACTTCTATACAAGGTTAGCAGATTACTCTTCCTTGATAATGAGGTGCTGCTGAGGTATCGCTCCAGCTATTCTCACTCATGGAATGAGAGAAGAGTATTCACTCATTGTCTATATAGAATAGCTAGATGCTGACTCCTCATTAAAGAAGCCAGTGATTTGTTTTTCTTCTATGAGAATATATATGAGAGTTACTGCATGTCTCATACAATCTTCTTAGTATACTAAGTACCATATCTGTGATATCCTCGCAATAACCTTGTAGCCTATGAGCTCGCTATTCAAGCAAGATAGTCAAGCCCACTCATATGACTTCTTAAACAACTACTCCTACATGATGCCGCTGACTAGCCACCGCTTCGGTTCCGCCATGTTACAATTATCTTCTTCTATGATGTCTGACAGCTGTCAGTTAAAAGTCAGTTGAGAAGAGAATGAGTCAGTGACAGCATGACAGAGTAAGCTTATGTGAAAGACATTATGAATTTCTGATAATATATTAAGACAGTAGTTGTGACTATCTAGAACTTCTATTACTTTATACTTGATATGATAGTAATCTAGTGTACAAGATGAACATGTGATTTATATATTCTTAAGATTCAATCATATCAAGTCTTCTATCTTATATTATTCAGTGAGATCTCAGTGAATATTGATTTAATTCTCTTAATCTTGTTTCACAGTTGTCATGAAGATCTCTGCTCAGTCACAGATATTTCAGAGCTTTATTACTATATTATCAGTGATCTTAATCAGACTGCAGAGGTTCAGTGTGAACTGTGTAATCTCTAGAAGATTCAACATCTTTATGTGATAATTATGTGTAAGAAAGAACAGACTTATATCTGTTGAAACAGTATCTCATTCATTGATAATAATCTCTGTGTGTAGAAGCAGATCATGTCAATTATCTTATAAGTGATTACAGAACTTATAGAGATAATTCTTTACAGTCTGAATTGTTTATTCTGATGCATCATCAGTCTCAGAGTGATAAGTAGTTAATAGACAGTGTATAATCTTGAGAACTTGACAGATTCTTGTTCAGAGAGTACTCACAAATTGACAGTCTTAATTCAATACTATAGATTTCAGCAATTCATGCATCTAATAGAATGAGCTCTGTAGAAAAGCTTTAGTAACTTATTCAGTATTTATCTTATTATAAGATTTCAATATTACATCTTTGCTTAATTAATTCATAATAATCAGAATGTTTCTATAACTCTTACTCTTAGAGAGATTAACAGTGAAGTTAATTATCATATCTTATCAGATTCTATTAGAAATATTAAGTGATTTTAGTAGGTCTTTTCTACAGTTCTTTCATAAGATGATAAAAGAACAATAGTTGTAGTTTCAGATAAAATGTCTGATGCTGTTTAATATCTCAGATCAGTAGAATTCTTAAGAGATTATTTAATACAGTTATTCACAGTCTGAATAATTAGTTATATACAAATTATACATCTCTTACATTATTCAGATGTATAAGGATTTGAAGTGAGAGATTCAGTATTATTTATAAAATTATAAAGTGTTATTATCATTGATTGAATATTCTGAGATATCAGTTCTTATACATAGTTCTGAGAGAAATCAGAGTGTTTCTTGATATACTGCTTTAGTAAGAGTCTGAAGAAGTTCATTAGTCTGAGCTGCTGTATATCACAGTTCATTCAGTGTAGAAGAAGTGAAGATATCAGTATCAGTGTCAGTTTAGAGAGAGAGTGTTCTAATCAGAGAAATATATATAGTGTTATAAGTTATTCTATCTTGATCAATCAATATCTTCAAATTTAAGAGCTGATGCTCTCAGTTCATTCAACAGATATCTGTTATATTGAAAGATATATCTTACTCTCATTATGAAATAGTATCTATGTTTAAGTTCTGACTGTCAGAGCAGTAGTGTATTATAAAATGAAAGCAGCTTAAGAACTCAGATTATTGTATCTATTATTCAGTAAGTTTACAGATAGTTATAAAGTACTTAAGATTTTTATGATCTTTGATTATCTCAAATTCAGAGATGCTTTGAAGTTCAGAGTCTCATTCTTAGATAGTATATAATTGTAAGAAGTTTCTTATCATAGATCTCATAATTGTATTCAGTGAGACTCAGTTTCTTAAACATGAAGATTATGGCGGGCTGCGCCCGATCAATCATATAGACTATTCTGTTACACTTTACAGATTTCAATCACTTCATTCTTGAACATGTATGCTCTGATTCGTGGCCATTCTCAATCACCGATCTTCAGCTGCTATAAACACATACACTCTGATTCTCAGCCATTCTCAATCACTGATTCTCAGCTGCTACAAACATGTGTATATTCTTCCACCCCGAAGCTCCACTGTGTACATCACTACATATGTGTATAAATATTTATCTTGATCACTGATTCTCACACTTTCTCTTTCTTTTCTTCTCTAACATTTTTATCTTTATTATATAAGATCTATCAATATTATACTGATCTATTCAGTGTAGGTCTCTTACACTATAAAAATGTTCATTATTTTCTTATTAGAAAATGATTATTCATGCATTATCTTCTCATTAGAAATGATTATTCATTAAGAGATATTCAAACACATAACAATGTGTAAGAAATAGAGAAACAGTTAAACAGTTAAGTAAACACTGAGTTCTCAGATAGAAGCTTGCTCATCAGTCACTCTGATCTCATAATAAGATCTTATAAGAGAATATCAGTAAAAGACCTGAGAGTTCTGACACTCAGACATATGAGAATATGATTACACATCTGATGATTGATATAACCATGTCTAATAATAATATGAAACTCTTGAATGTGAGTATAGATATGATGCCACAGTGACTCTGAGCAATATTGAAATTACAATAATAATAAATAGCTGATATGCATACAACTCAATAACTTCAATATGAAGAGATTCAATGATTAACTCATACAATTTCAACATTTATAGAATCAAATACAAAAGTGCTGAAAGAGCACTTAGATACTCTTATATATTTCAATGCTTTCAATCTCACTCTCTACTCATTATAAAGAATGAAAATGCTTGTGAAACTGAGTATAGATGAAGATTTCATCAGTTCATTAATTAATCAAGATTGATATATTAATGAATAATTGAAGAATTGTGTGAAACAGAAGTTTCATTCATAAATAAAAGTATGTGAATCAGTATTATCACTGTTATGAACATCTGATAATATTATGAAATATCTTGATATTCTGTTCTAAGACACTGTCATATAACAGAAAGTATTAGATTAATTACAGAGTACTTAACAGAGAAATACTTCTCTTATAATATTCATTTCTGACTTCAATATCAAGATTCTAGAAGTAGATAATTAATCTTGAGAGAATTGAATAAAGATTAGCATGCTTAAGAAGATATTGACTTTTGAACTCTTACAGACTTTTATAAGTGTAGATAAAGATCAGACTTATGAAAGCTTCTGCACACAGCTCTGAACATTGAATAATCATCTTACTAAGCTCAAGAGTATACAGAACAGTGGTAGAAGATATTACATCTCAGTCACTTATACACCTGCACTGAAGAATAACAATGATACAGATATCATGAACTGAATAGATTTAAATATTTATACATAAGCAAGAGTTTCTACTATTCAAATAGACTTCTGAGTTCCTGGGATCACTTCTGAAGAAGTCACTGATTGATGTCAATGTGAAGTATATATCAACTGTAATCAATCAGAACACATTGCTTTCAACTGCTGATTAATCTATGTGTCTTCACACTTGAGAGAAAGATCAGTGCCTGTTCATGCTAATCACATTATAGTGAAGAAAGATTCAGAAGATAACTATAAGAATGTCTCAGTGAAACAGAGAAAAGATTAGCTTCTATTCAAATTCACAAACAGAAGCTTGAAGAGATTAGATGATAATAATTTAAAGAGAAGATGACAATGAATATAATTCTTGTATCTACTGTGATTAATAACATGTATAATATGAAAGTTATAATAGACAGCAGTCTATGTTACTATGCAATGATAAAATCTTTAGTTATAAGATATCATAATCTTCAGTGTATCTCTTTATCAAAACTCTGACTTCTTGCAGAATTTGATAATCTGAAAGATGTTTGTACTCATTACATGATGAAACTAAGTATAGATGTGAAAGAATATCAATATGAAGATATCTATACATATAAAGTTGATAATCTTAATTATAATCTTATATTAGAACTTGTCTGACTATCTGAACAAGACATCTTACTGAATACTTGAAACAGAAGCTTGATATTCTCTAATAATGATAGAATTCATGAAGATGATATTTACAAGACTATGAACCTTACACAGATCTCTGCCAATGCTTATAAAATACTCAGAAAAAGAAGTTATCATCAAAATCATCAACAGAGTCACTAATAGCAG